TACAGGGGACTCTGATGGCACTGAGCAGCTCCTTTAGTGGCAGGAGAGATTCAGAAGGTCTTCATTCCTTCCAACTGCTGTCAGACTCTACAGAAAAGCCCTTGCAGCTGACCACTCGCACACTTACACTGGCAAACACACACATATCCAATAGACTTTATAGTTTTCTGTTGGTGTGCGGTATTTTATGTCAGTCTTGAAATTTCAGCTCATGTTTTTGATGGTGGGGTTGAACCCTTTTTGTTTATTTTCCATTTTATTTATTTATTTTTGTTACTCTTTTGAAATCATTTGGTAAAGTCACTTTTTTGCCCATTTTTTTCTGAGGGACTGAGGCTGCCGAGTAATCATGCACACGCTGAGATAGATGGTTGATCTGGTTGACCACCACCTAATACACTTTAATCAGATAAGTTTAATGTTCATACTGCACCTTGAAAATGAAAAACGTAAAAAAAAATACAATATTCTCAAAATACTCAGTTCCCATACGACTGTGCACACAGTGTAGAATAAGTGAAAGCAGTAATGAATGACAGTTGTACTTCTGGTTTTGTTGGATATTGGATTTTGCTGTTTGAAAAATAATTTACATACTAACTATCCTGAGGCGCATCACAGTTCTCAGACGCACCAAGGGGTCAGAGATCATTAGACAAAACCCCGCGTCCAAACCAGAGGAGTTATCGCTTTGGAAATTAGTCGACTACATCAAATTGAGTAAGTAATTTAAATCTGTTGTTTGCTCTTGGTCTGTTTTCTGCTACTCTTTACTTTCTGTAATGATCTGTAAACAGAGTTGCGGCTTGTCGACAATTTAACCCGAACAGACAGTTGAAATAAAAATAATGAGGCTCCCCTTTGATAAGCTATATTTCACAGTTGCCTTCATAAACAATTTGGTTTGTGTCCAGTGCAAATGTTTATTTCACATTGTAACGTATCAGGGTAAATGTCTAATTCTCATCCTCGCACTCTGTATTTTTGTTAATCATTAATGAAGCACTCTTAATTGGTATATCACTACAGTACAGGCGGGTACCATTAAAGCTATTTCTGAACCTATGTAGATGGCATTCAGTCTCAGTGATAATTTACATCATGCATCTTTGCATGTCAACATTTGCAACTCAGTGTTATGACAGAATCCGTAGGAGATCGAAATCACATATAGAGACAGGTAGCAGGAGGCGTATTTCAGCGAAGTAGGTAAGTTTAGTCTCCGCAGGGCATTTAGTGTAATTGCGGCTGAGGATGTTGCATTTAATGTTGTTGTTAGAGAGTGAGTGCTTTGCACTATGTGCTCATGTAAAGACTTTTGTCTATGGTTAGGTCAAGGGTTGGATGTAATTTTTTACTCATTTTCATCATTATATCATTCTCCAACAGCTTTGGACGGATGTTTTATTATACATAAAATGATGATAAAACAATGTAAAAAAGAAGTATGGTTTTTGAAGAAAGGAATTTAGGACTACTGTTATTTTCTTTGATGTATTACTTTTAGAAAATGACAAAAATGATTTATTCCCTTCTCAGTAATCAATAAAAAAATTTATTTTTGGCATTTCAGTAATAACACCCTTGTCTTTCTTATTTCTGACCATCCTCAGTTTCGTCTGCTCTCTTTGGTGATAAGCCCTAAATCTTTGAAATCGGAAGGCTTCATTTCCATCACCCTCCTCTTCAACACTCTCCACAGATTCTCTTCAATTCAGAACTCTGGCTGTTTTACTTCCAAACCTAAACATTACTTCCAGTCTCAAGAAACATCTGTCCATCCATCTGTCCCTCCCTCCATGCATTGGTAGTTTGAGGATGGGTTGGTGTCTATCTTGAGGCAAGATATACAAACAACCATGCAATCAATGACCCTTACTGGCAATTTTTAAAGATTCTAAGTAACCTAACTTTCAAGTAGTTACAGTGTGGAAGGAAGCCAGAGGACTGCAGATGCATGAGATCAGGATTCAAACCAATGACGTTCTTGCTGTAAGGCAACAATACTAACAGCTGCTTCACTATGAAGTTGATTAAAAAGAAACAAAGAAGAACTTCCACTGCAAAATGGACAGACAAATGTGTGATATCAACATAATTTCACATTCTCCTATAGTGTGGCAGTGACAAGAAATCTGACTACTAATCTGTCTACCCTTCATGAGATGTAGGAAGATCATAATTCTGTTATAAATTTTGCATAAAAAAATCATTTACATTAACTTTTTGTGATACTGTTTTTTTTTTGTTTTTTTTTTTTACACGTTGAGAATTTCTGATGCAGTTCATCGCTGAAAAAGAATCTGTGAAAAAGTTTTTATTTAATCTTCATTTTTAAAAAATGACCCGTTTCACATTTTGCCTTTTAACTGACATTTTGGTCTCAATATGATACGCAACCAAATTAAAGATCGAGTAAAAAGAATGTTCTCATCTGTTCATCTGACATTTTTATTGAATGTGTCTTAAAGCAACCAAGGGCTCTTTTAAAATCCTGCCAGAGTCACTTAAGGAAATCAGAGCGGGGGGTTTTGGAGCCTGCAGGGGTTCATTAGGAACAGACTGGTCCAACTTCCTCTGCCAGGGAGGAAAAGGAGAGCACAGAAATATGGGGAGAGAAATGAGGAGAGGTAACAACCAGAGAATCGGGGCTAGCAAATGGAGAGCGGAGGCTAAGTGGCGACCAGTCGGAAAACCATGTGAAAGACAGCAGAAAATAAAGTGAAACTAAAAAAGAGACACAAAAAAATGAAAAAAAAAAAAAGACACGACGAGGAGCAAAGAGAGACAGCAAACGCTGCTGTGCAAGTTTTATTCTATTACATCAAGACACCACAAATCAAACCAGGACATGATGACAAGTAACGAGACAACCGTCACCAGGATCACTGCCAGTATGCCTGTTACCTATTGGCTGGCGCACTCTTAACGCCGCGCTCTTTTCATTGTGGCTGTCAAGCTGTGGAGTACTCTAAATGAAAACAGACCTCTTCCTTATTTTTCTTTTGTAGCAGAGGTGAGGTATGGTAGCTCGTAGTGCAGCTCTGTCCTCAATTCACAGAGGGACGCATTGTATACTTTCTTTCCATTGAGTGAAAGAGTTGTATAGTGTCTCTGTTCCTTTTTCCCTTTTTGCACTGGAAGGCATTCATCACCCACCTTCTGATAAATGGTTGTTGTACACAAAAAACACACATTGGTGCACACATAGCTTTACAAAGCCGCTTCCATACAAGCCCGGTTCATAGCGGTGAGGATTTAGTGCCTCACCTGTGGCTGTGACACCAGAGAGGGGATTCCATTTAGAAAGATTCTTAGGAAACTTTATTTCAGAAAAATTTCAGACTTTGAAGCATCTGTGCTTACGTCCTTGTAGTGTCGCTGTGGATTATTTTGTGTGGATACATGGTTCCCTTTTTTAGATAGCTTTCTGGTGAACCTAATGCGCAGGGCTAGGAAATGGAGTCTTTGCAGTCTTCCAATGTTTTTTTTCATTAGTCTTTACTTTTTTTTTTTTTTTAGTCTTTGCTTTGGTCAATGTGGCCAAAGCAAAGACCACATTTGCTTGATTGGCTCTAATGCCAATCAGAGCCAATACTCTGATTGGCATTATGATTCGCATTGCATGGTTTTCATAATGAAGCAAAGATTTAGCAAAAATTATTTTCACTCAAGAAAACAATCAACAAGAATACTAGACTGGTAACATTTCAGCTGGTTTCACGAAAATATTAGTGTTAATTTACATCTGTAAATGAGTCGCAGGTAAAGTTAAAAATTAGATCTTTTAAATGAGGAGACGAGAAATCGTTGAGCCTTAAAACGAAGGAATTGGTTGATAACCTGATCAACTCCATGTACGTTTTGTTGGTTTGGATTACAGCAGCTGGATAGAAATAACACCATCTGTTCCCTACAAGTGTCCTGGTGGTCACAGTGTGTGCGAGAGTTTGTGTTCGTCTTGAAAGACCTGTTGTGTAATAAAAGACATTCATTGACAGTTTTGACACATACTTACAAAAGCTCCCACAACAAATGCACCACTATTAGGGGCGTTGAAATCCTAATAATATCAAACCACCCACCCAAACTATTGTTCCCAAACAGAAAAAAATAAAAAAAAATGGGTGCTTCATGTGTTTTTCAGAGGATGCCAGGCGGAGACCTGACTTATCTGAACAATCAAGGTTTATCAACCCACGCCAGCCTTTCGATGGGCATCTGTTGCATTGTCATTTGAAGTCACCACATAGGAAGACACCGTTCCAATTGCTGTTGCCAGGTCTTTCTTTGTTGCTCCTTTTGTTGTGTCACATAAGCCATTTCTCACCATGGGAGGAGACATAAAGGAAGCTAACAAAGAGAAAAATAATTCATTTGTTGTGTCAAGTATAATAACTGATATTTGAATACTTTTTACCCCGGTGCTTGGAATTGTTCTGTTGAGAAAGGTAAGCTGCTCTTGAATTATTCCCTGGATGATGCCAGCTTTTGTACCTAAAATCCCATGTGGCTTACTCCTTTCTTGCTCGGTTGAATCTCGCTGATTGCTTTTGACTGTAAATGATAGAGCCAAGCTGAGAAATTCTTTATTGCTGACAGAAATGTTAGTGGCGGCTGTGCTATAGAGTCTGTTTTGAGCAAATTTAGGCGTTAGATTTCAGGGTCACTTATACAAACTGTGGTGCGCAAACACACAGACAGGTTCTTCTTCACGCTCGTGTTTACACACATCATTGCCAGACAAGATTTCTGCAGGAAAAGGCCAAACCGACTTTAAAGTGTCTCTCAAAGGGAAAGAGAGAAAAAAAAAAACAAACATCCTCAATCTCTGTCTGTCTGCTTGCTCCATTCCTCTTTCCTTTGCTCGTTGGAAGAGATTTTTTTCTTTTCAAACAAGTCCACAGTCTGTTCCTGTAATTGCATACAATCCCTGTCTCTAAAATGTTACAGAAAGAAAGAAGATTTTTTAAATGCCCCTTTTCTTCTTTGCTTGACAGATCAATCGAGCTCCGAGCTTTGGGACTGATCAGAAGCTTGATTACGATGTGAAGAAAGGGGTGCTGCTCAATGCTCTCGAACTCCTCAACATCAGGTATTGCTTTCTGCTGCAGCCATGTATGTGGATATGCATGCAGATACATAAACATATTGCATCAGGGGGCCCATTAAAGCTCCAGGCTTTTTTTTTTTTTGCAGGGGTTCTAAATGTTTAACGATTTCAGTCATTGCTTACTTTGATGCTTGGTGGAGTTCAGAACCTTTTTTACATCTGATTTTAAAACGGTTGTGACTGTGGTAATGGTGTGAACAGTTGCACAACATAAATCATATTTGTAAATGGTTGTGTCTCAGTGATAAATGCAGGACACCCCAGCGCCTGATTGAGAAGCATTCACATATCAAAACTAAATCTCAGTTTCAAACAGTGGAAAAGAAAAATTTGTTCAAAAAATGAACATTGTCGTACTCCTTAAGCAAAATATATAAACAACAATTTATTTTCTAGCTAAGGGAAAAGTTAGGACGCTCTTCTACTTTTGTAATTTTTATGCCCATTCTAAGTAGACATGTATGTAGCATAAGTTGGAATATCTTAACTTAAATCTGACCAGAAATTGATTTTTTTTTTACTTACGTCTTGTATGAAATTTCAACATTTGTTTATTTATAATACTTTTTTTTTGGTATTATTAAAATTTATATTAAACATCAATGTGTCCTACGCAAACACACAGGCTCTGAGAAGGTTTCCTGTCAGTACTTTTGTTTTTCACAGATCTGTACATAAGCCTTTTAAAATGGGAAGAAAACCTTAATTGCACATGTCAGTGTGTGAGAGTCATGTAACTTTTTAGCTTTAAGTTTATAATCTCTGCGACTTCTTTGTTTTTATGTTTTACTCATCTTTGTATATTTATTCAGCTTCCTGTCCTTCATTTTCTGCTTGCTTTGTCTGCCTGTTTTGCTTATGTTTTCTCTTTTTGTGGTGTACTGTACTTCTGTACACATAGTGGTTTGTGTGTAAAGTGTAGCGCGTGTGTGTATGTGTGTGTTCATTGGCATGCTTTTCTGTCCCCTGGCTACAGTGACTTTGTTCTCTGATTGATCACTGTACACAAGACCTCTAGATCTCTGCTCCCTTTGTTGCTTTCTCTCTGCATGTCCTCTTCTCGCTACCCTAAATATAGTCTTCCCCCAAGTAGTCATGCACATACAGAAACATAATGAAAACATATGTAGGCACAGAATCGTACAGGAGCATCTCAGTAAATAAGACAATCATCAAAACATGAAATTATTCTGATAATTAAATTCACCAAGTGACATTTATATGTCAGATAGATTCAACACACAGAATAATGTATATTTCAAGAATTTATTTCTGTTGATTTTGAGGTAATCGCACTAGTTAATAACCTAATTTATGATTTTACGACGTCTATTAACACAATATTTTAACATAGACATTTTATTGCCTATGCAGTCTCGTGGAAGACGACTAGCTTTCCACCAGACATTTTCCAAAAAGTGGATGAAGCAGGGCACAGAGGGCTGCCTCCAAGCATATTAATGAAATGCGGAGTGGAAGAAAAAGGTATCATTCAATAAAGGTGCACAAGCAACAGGGATAACCACAGCCTCACTCTGGAATCTCCGAAATGAAAAAAATAAAATAAAAATATTCCTTTCAATTTATTTAAATGCAGAGATGGTCAAATTACTTGTTGTATACTAGACGTAGCTTGTTGAAAACTCTCAGCTGTGCCAACTGTCTTTCTGGAGCTTCTGGTTGATGTTTTCCAAGTTCTCTGACAAAATTAGCTTTTATTTCAGGATTTACAACATGTATTCAAAGCAAGCAAGAACACAGGGCATACATAGTATGAAGCCCTTTTGTTCGTGGAGTGAACGAGTGTCTTGCAGAACTTTAATCTATCTCTTTTAATATACATTAGCTTTTCTCGCCCATAGGAAGGAGTTGTTGGTGTTTGCTTGACTCTTTGATCTGTTTACAATGCAAACTGAATACAACTGGGATCAATTTAGACCCATTCGGGCATGGACATTGATAGACGTCATTCCCCCTCAATAAAAATATTCAGTCAATATTCAGTTTAAAGGGCCAGCGACTGAATTAAATACATTTTTCTCTCGAAGCTGCAGTCACCTACTTGTTCATAATATTCTGTCTGATCCTGTTCCTCCAGTTGCTGTTTAGATTTTAGCTTGATTTATTTTTTTTTTTAAACATATTGTTCGAATTTTTTTGGAAGCAATATTTTTCTCGATAATAATGAAGAGTAACCTCTTATCCAGACATCAAGCGGACAAATATTCTCCAAAAATAATGGATATTTTTTACTGTACAGACAAGAAAATAATGATCAAACATCTACTATGTGGGAAAAGTATGAAAACAACAACAACAACAACAACAACAACAAAAATATACAGCATAGAGGATTACTAAACAGTTGAGAGCTTTTCAGTATGAGGAGCCTAAACATATAAACATTTTATCAATTAACTTGTTTGTGGTTCAGGGCCAGTGATAAGAAAAGAAACCTGGCTCAGGAGAAGGCAGAAGCTCAGAGGCGGCTTTATGGTCATGGCTTCATGAGGAAACTTTCAGCTGCTTCCACGGACTGGGAGAAACAACGTCACACGCTGGAACGGAGAAGAGAGGAACTGGTATGGCACAAACGGGATATTACACCTTCGGCTGATCTGAATGTGTGCAGATTTTTTTTTAAGCATTCTTCCAGTCATGCATTATTCCTTCTGCACTGTCCTTATTAAATGACGGTTCTCTTACTTGCTGACCACAGACCTGTGGCAAGCAGCCTCTGTGGAGGTCATAAGCTGTATAAGGTGCTGCTCATTACCTATTGTCAAAGGAAAATTACATCCCACTTTGACTTTTAGAACCTGTATGGATGTATGAAAGTAGAGTTCATGCTCTGATTGATGATAAATTATAACTTCAGTGGCATCTGTAACCTCATTTTATCAGGCTAAGACTGCTGTAGCTTAATGATTCTTTTCCTCTTTCTTCTACTGCGTCAAAATTCCAACTTGGCTTCATGTGACAGCAACTATTTTGGTGAAATCTGTGCATTGCAAATCCCACGCTTTTCGTATGCTTACGTGAATATATAATGCGGTTCATGTAAATGCCTGCAAAATAACTAATTGGTTAAATTAGTTGCTGGAGCACCATCAGACTGGCAGCGCAATTTTAAAAGACAGATCTTCCTTTGAATGCCCTGAGAATTAAACCAGCTTGAACTTTTGGCTTCGCTAATGCCTGAGAGTCTTAAATTCTACTAGTTTATTTGTAGTGCAAAGAATTTGGAGGATTTCATCAGTCTTAATGCATTTTATATAAAAAAAATTAAAGAATATGGAGAAAGTTTTACACAAAGGAGAAACAAACATGGAGAATGGAAACAGTTGTGTTTTCTGTAGCTTGAACTCATTCAAGGAGAAAAACGATGTGCCGAAATTTGAAACTGTTTAAAAAAAATAAAAAAAGCAGAGATATTGCCTCATTCTGGTTAACGTGGACAGGGAGCATCTGGAGTAAGAAAACATTTTCCACACTTTCAACCCTACGAGACACTTGCAACAGTGGACTCCTCAGTACCAGCATGTTTACTGACATTTGTTTTTTTTAAATATCCATACAGTACAGCTTGAATATAAAATGTTGCTGTTCAAAAATCGAATTGAAGGTAAAAAAAAACAAAACAAAAAAAAAACAGTGATATCCAGCAATGGTTTTGGTTTCATTTAGGTTTTATTTTTATTAAATCTAGTGTTTGGATTTCACCTTAGTCTCTTTGGATTTAGTACTTTACAAATAAGCATGATTAATTTGAACTGCAAGGCACAGGCAACGTACTAGTGAGCTGCAGATTTAGAAAAGGAAAAAGGTTGTAAGAACAAACTCAGTTCCACTTATTTCTCAGCGGATGTCAAAAGAGTCAAAGTTTTCTGAGACGTGAGCACTGTTTAATTATTTTTCCTTTAAAATAGCGGAATCAGGGGAGCTTTTCTAATCTAGATGGGGAAAAGTGGCAGCCGCTAGTGCTTTAATGCCTCCCACCCTCTTTGATTAGCCTTTTGATAGCCACAGCTGTAATCAGTGGGAATAAGGAGCGAAGGAGCAGAGGCGCTCTTTCAAAAAGGGCACCACCTCATCTATGAGTGCTGTTTTGGCTGAAGAGAGAGCTCAGGTTGAGGTCTGCTGAAGGCTCATATCACTCAGCATTTAATGATACTGCGGCACTAGTGGCAAAGTGGTCCCCACCTCTCCGCTTTTTGTCAATTTGACAAGCTTAGACGCACAATTACACATTTATAACATGCTAATGAGAGAGGGGAAGGGAGAACATATTATTAATTTATGGCAGTGACGTCTTTCATCCCTTTCCCTGTATTTTGCAAGGCTTCATTGTTTTTTTTGTTTTTTTTGTTTTTTTTTTCTGTTACTGAGTGAAATGTTTTCCTTTGTTTCTAGAAAGAACAACTTGCACAGGTTCGCAGGCAGGTTTCCAGGGAAGAACATGAAAATCAACATCTGGGGAATTACAGGTAAAGATGAGGCAAACAGCTGGGGAGAACGGGCTCTCCCTTCAGGAGCTCCACCCACTGTTTTTTGTGCCAGCTTGCTCGCATTTACGAGGTAATCTGCACAATGCCAAACTCTTGGTAAAATAAATGTTGCTGCTGACAGAATGAAAAAAAGAACACATATTGTTTTTGAGATTGCAGGAAACCAGACTAAACACATGTTAAAATCAGAGAAAGGCAGAAAAGCAAAGGAAGGGAGGCTCAAATTGCTTCTCCTCCTGCCAAATTCTTACCCTTTGACGCATCTTAGAAACACAGATTAGCAGGTAAACTTTGCTTGCTTGCTGCGAGCCATCTCATCCCTGCCCAACAATCCCTTCTCTTTTTCTCCCCTTCACCTCAGAACCCCCAGCTGGGTCTCTGGAAGACACAGAGCGTATCGATTTTCTAACCTCACAGATGGAGCAGATTCACCCTACAGCATGACTTAGCAAGTTAAAATTTACCACTTGGCCCATGTAAGCTATTCGCTCCTCTTTACTCCTCATTTTATGCTTCATTTTCCACACAGCACTTCAGCAACAACAGCATTTTATTTATTTTTTTTTTATCATTTTTCTCCCAATTTCTTACACAAAAACAGACACACTCACCCGTCTTTCCGTCTCCAAAGGTCGAAGTAACTTCCTGACCGAGTCTTGGTCAGAACGCTCCTCCAGGCCTGCATGAAGTGCTGCCACCTCTTTCCTTTTCCTCGACAGGCTGCCAGACAGTCAATCAGGCAGGCTGGAGCACCCCTAATAAAGACCTCTTAGCATTCAAATGGTGCCCCAGCGCGGCGCTGAACTCTGATTAACACACTGCTCCTCATTAGATGAGTTTGAGTAATGAACTCACTTACATTTGGCTATTAGATAAGATCTGTTTCAGGTACGGAGCCCGTTACATCTGAGGAAGACCCAGCTGCTTGTTGCTAGCTCACTACCTTGTTAAGCAGCAGGAGTCATGAGACTTTAAAGGTGCCGTTAAGCGGAAAACAAAGAAAGATTTTCTTACCGTCTCAAATAAAGGAGTAGTTGTAGTTCTTCATTTCACTTAAGTGAGATCACACAGAGAGGAATCTAATCATCAACTCAATCAAGACATACATATGTTCAGCTTTAAAAACAGCCCCAGGTGTTTACATGGCCTGCTGAAGAAGTGACCATGAGCTTTTCGGTTAAATGAGGCTCTTTAACTATTGACAAGTTCTAGTGTCTGTTATTCCTATTGATATATATATATATATATATATATATATATATATATATATATATATATATATATATATATTAATGTGTTGAGACCTTTTTATATTTTGTCGAGTGTGTTTTTGAAAAGAAGTAATAGAATTACGTCCATACACCTCTAAAGTAATATAACTGAAAGAAGTCCCTCACAAAAGGATTCATATGCCTTGAACTTTTTCATACTTCATCATGTCACAACTACAAACTGCAATGTGTCTTTTATGCAACAGATTAACTCAAAGTACTGCATTATTGTGCAGTGGAAGGGAAAAGATACAAGGTTTTCTATATATTTTTTTACAAATAAAAATCTGTGACCTGTGCCGACTAGCTTATGAAACCAGCCTTCGCTGCGGTTGTACCCGTAAGTCTTTTGCTGCGTCTCTACCAATTTTATGCATGTACATACTGAAGTTTTGTCTAGTTTTATTTGCAAAACAGCTTAGTCAGATTGAACGAACACCATCTGTGAACAGAAATATTCAACACCTGTGAAAATTTGTTGTTGTTTTTTGCTTTGACTAGACCATTCTAAAACCCCAGTGGTTTAATCTAAATCCTCCCATTGTGTTTCTGTCTTTGTGTTTTGTGTCTCTGCTTGGTCGAAGGTGAACCTCTAGCTAAAGTCCCTTGCAGCCTTTATCAGGTTTTTTTTTCACAGCACCTGCCTGTATCTCCATCTGTCTTTGCCTTAACTCTGGCCAGCTTCCTGGTCTCACCATCCACAGTGGGCATGGTATTTTTTAGGTACAGTGCTTGTTTTCAGCTACACAGAGTATTTTGGATGTAACTGAGCCAAAAAAAAAAATTGGCATTTAGAGCCATCTGACAAGATCTGCTGTTTACTGTGGTGCCTACATCACTTGTGACAAACTGCTTTCTTTCAACACTAGCTTTCTTTCCTTAAAGAAAGGCCAGATTTATAAATAATGCCAATAATGGTTGCCTTATTGACAGATTATTTGACCTGTGCTCTGGATTTCTGCAGCTCCTCCAGAGTTAGAAACTGTTTCATGACTGTTTCTCTTAACAATGAGGCTTGGATTTGCTGTATATAGTTTAATGTTACAGAGAGCACATCAGACTGTTATTTGAGGTGCTATGTGACACAACACAAAAAATATGCAATGGGTATTATTTCTTTTGCAAGGCATTGTAGTTAGAAACATTTCACATTCAACTGTACTAAGAAAGGAGCTTAGTTAGTTGGCTCATATCTGGACCCAGAACTTAGCAGTTGCTTTATTTGAGTCGCAGTAACGTGGAATTGGGTCATCTTCTCAACAATATGGAAATGAGGCACACAGAACAGCTACACAGCATAAAATTATTAATTGCACATGGGGAGCAGTTAAAGTTTTAATGCTGAAACAGTTAACCTTTACTTGGCATTTTACTTGCACTAAAATCTACTACTCACACGCTGAGACGTAAAAGTATCAGTTCTCAGATATATATAAAAAAAAAAAAAAAAGAACATGTTTTAGTTTTCCAAGAATGTTTTCTGCTTTAGACATTACCATCATGTCTGAATCGGGAAGGCCATCTAACGGAGTGGGATTTGGCTCCTGATAGGGCTCTGCAGATGTCAGAACATTCGCCTGCTTTTTGAACTTAAAGTACCCGATGCTTATTTTGCTTAAAAAGCAGACATTGTTTTGATTTGATGGACAACGCGATGACAAGGCCGGGTTTGGAGATGTAGTTTCAGGATAACCCGGCAGAGGTTTACAAATTGTTCTAGTCCCTTTAGATCCATCATAAACACTGGGGTTAGTTTAGTCTTTAGGGTGAAATTTTAAAGGGTGCAAACAGACGCATTAGTGCATATTGCAAAAAAAAAAACAAAAACTGTGAAGTGTACTTCTGGGTGCAGAAAGCAGCTGCGTGAAAGCAGCGCTCCGTGTGAAAAGACTGATTAAATGAGAGTTTGGCAGTTTCTTGACTCAAGGTTGCCAGTAAAGCCTGTCTTTTTGTAATTTGTCTCTGCTTTCTTCTTCTCATTTTAATTTTGTTTTTCTTTCTCTTAGCATGCTGTAATCCTTTTCTATACCTATATTTTATGATCGGCTTACTGCATCCTCTTGTCTTAAATTTTTTCTAAATTTTTGTCAAATATTTAGCTGTTCTCTCAGTATCTGTAATTTTTTTTTTTTTTTTTTTTTACATTTTTTACTGTACTAAACCCTTGCTGCAAATTCTATCACTCGTCCTTTAACCTCACATGCCTCCTTTGCTTAACCCCACTCTGTCTCTCTATGTGTCCTTTCTCCTCTTTACCCTTTATCGCCCGACTCTCATTTCAACTGTCTCCCCTCAATGATAACCCTTTTCCGTTACCTTCTATTTTCCATCTATTCTTTTTATTTTATTTTTTTTATTTGCTCCTTTCTCACTCTCCTTGCCCCTCTCTCTCCCCGTCTCTGTGGCCTGCAGACGTATTTACCCCCCAGACGACAAGCTGCTGTTGGAAAAGTATGAAAGCCTGCTCTCGGCCGCCTTTCAGACCTTCCTCGCCGGGCGAGCTGCCTCACTTCAAAAGGAAATGAATAATCCTCTGAAACGAATGAAGGCACGTACATCAGTGGCAGACTGTCACGGACACACACACACACACACAAACACATGCTGTAAAAACCTGCAGAGATCCACACCTGAACACACACACTCGCATAGCATTCAGGCATCTGTGGGCAGGAAGCAAAGGAACACACACGCACATTTCTATTAAGATTCTGCCCACAGAGACGATTAGGGATGTGCAAATAATGTGGAGTATGTTGCAGTCCATGGTTTTTGTTGGGAAGTTTGACAATATGTAGGAAGGCAGAGCACAACATGTGCTTACTGTCATTCAGACTGTCTCTTCACAAATATTTATTGTGTAGTGCATGATGTTTTTAAAAAGGAAAATCAAATCCCACAGAACAATGTTATGTTTGTTTCTTTCTTCACTTCGACACTCTTCACTCTCCCGTCGGTCCTCTTTCTGGATCTTTTGCTTTTCTTATGTCTTTCTGACAGCATCAGTTCTGAGTGAGTAACAGTTGCTTCCCACATGTGTTTTATTTGATTTTTTTGCTGTATGTTAAAGAGTAAGACATTGAACGTATAAGGACACATTTAACATGTTGAAATAAAAGTCCTATAACATCCTCTCAGAATTTGATCATTTCACAGGGTTAGGAAGTAATGTTTTCTTGCGCCAGAGGCTCATCTGTGTTTTCGAGTAATGCTGCTTTAGCTCTGCTGTGAAGTTGAAGTTATGACGATAAACAGAGCATTGAAACCGACTGAGAGCTTTATAATTTTTTGCAAATTATAAAATAGGATATGAAAGAGAATGAAGTAGGACAAAATGACAACCAGCTGAGACAAATAGCAGTTTTTTTTCTTCATTTTTCTGATCTGTAAAAACAACCTTTTAAAAAACTTTACAAGAGACTTTAACAGCAGTTTTCTGTCATGTTTATGTGTTCAAGAATAGTAAAACAAAGACGCTGAAAACTGAAGTGGGGAGTACTGGGCAGACAAATAAAAGTACATTTAGAAGGCAGATACTTAAACTTAGGATTTTTAGGAAATGTATTGATACAATAAATTATTTTCACATCACCTATAAGGACATGTTGCAATTTTCATAGGAGTTACTCTCACTGTTTCTGACCTTTTGCCATTTTCTTCTCTAAAGACTATTGTGTGTGTGCGTGTGTGTGTGTGTTTTCTAAGAATGGTGTCACTGCAGAGGAACTTCATAAAGATATGAATCAAAGTTCAGGCTGAGTCGAAAAAGAACACATTTTTAATTTGACCAGCACAGAGACAGGGATTTTGTTCAAAGCCAGAAGGAAGAGAGAGTCGCTCTGCAGCTTGCTATCTGGCACCACAATCATGTCTAACAACTGAACTGTCCTCATTAAGGGACACAGTGTGAAATACTAATCTGGGCTATTTATCAGAAAGAAGGAAGGTTCCTGAAGTTCAGTCTGATAATGATCGGGCCAAACGTAGTGCATTTCATGCTGATGCAGATACGCCTCCTTACATCGTATGTCGCCTGCTTTCACTTTGTTTTCCATAAATCACATTTAATAACAAATATTAACATATGTGATTTTATTACCGTATAATCAGAAGACCAAAGGTTGCTTTGCAACATAATCACTTCCGGAAAGCACTGTTTCTCTGAAATAGTGTGAGAACTGCAGCTTACACCATAGCTGAAGTGTTCTAAAAAAAAAAAAAAAAAGCACATAAACTCATTGGGTTTTGTGCTTTTCGGTTATGGAAAAGTATGGAGAAAGACGAAAATGTTTGGAAAAGTCAGTTCTGTTTCCAGACTCCTTTATATTACTAATTACAATGCAGACGAGCAGATCTTTTGTCATATAGATTATATTTGACAGATGCTCACTTGAGTGCACCTTTTGGTAGCATAAAGCCCTGGTACTGTTTGTGAGAAGGCAATTTGCAGTGCGCTTAGTTCCACTGAAAACTAAAAAATGGTGTCCTTTTGTGGATGACAAGGTTTATCAAAACATAAAATGTCTTTGATTAACTTTTTATAACTAAATGCCTTATTTTGGGGGATTTTAGCATAATATTATGAAGTTCTTCAGTGGCAGCCATACCTCCTTCTTATTGTTTTATTATTAACACTGACCTTTACTAAGGTAAGAGAGACCATTAGTGCTTTAGATGGTGTTATAAGTTATTTGGTCACTGTGGTTCATTGGGATCCCTAACACTTCCAAACCCTTTCCAGACTCATAGGAAATCACTTGTTTATAATCTTCCTAAATTTCTTCATTTACTGGCATGATATGTTGCATTTAGACTGTTGTCAGTTTCTGTTTTTTTTTAATTACTATTATTTTAAGGTTAGCTAATCTCCTTAACTGTCATTGATCTTTAATTTCACCAGTCACCTTGGTGTGGCTGATGAAATTAATACATATATATTAATACACATATATATAAACAAATATATGTATATAAGGTTTATTTATTTTTTTATTGTTGTTTTCCCTAAAAAAAAGTAATCACTGGCTCTGTCTAGGGTCGTTCTTTCATTGCGAGCAAACAATCGATATTTCTGTCTGACAGTTTTTGGACCCGCAACACTTTTGTTTGCTGGCTTTGCGAGCTTCTCACGGCCACGAATTGAAAAAAAGTCACGGACTGTCGCACTATCAAAGAACACAGAGTCTGTGTTGTATTCCTAGAAATGAAAAAACCCATTGATTGACTGCAGAGCACCCTCTTGCTTTCAGCTTGCTGTGCCAGAGACGTTTCAGCAATGAGTTGCACTGTTTTCCACAGAGTTTGCATCACCCTTCTCCACACTTCCATTACAGTTAGGTTGAAAGGTATGCATCAGATTGTTAGCTCTGTTGTTGGCTATGTATCTTTTCCACCCCTTAGACGATGTCTTTCTATTCCTTCACTTTTAGGAATAATGAAAATGAGAAACAGGATGTTGTCAAAGCAGCCTGTGGTTTTCTGTCAGAAACATTAAAAAAAAAAAAAAAAAAAAAAAAAAAGCACGTACGCACACAGTCTTAGCAAACGTGAATCAAACGTTTCCAAATAGGCAAGTACAGCAAATGCAGCAGCTAAGCATTGATCTTAAAACAGCTCATTTTGGCCAATTTTTTTTAAACTAAAGATAAAGCTGATGTGAAAGTAGGTTTTATTGTACAATGAATATTCACTCTAAATTTAAATGGATTTTCTTTTCAATGTTGTTGCTCTCACAAACAACTGGAGCACGATGACGCTGTTTGCAGTTCAGGGTTACTTGAATTTAAAAAGAAAAGCAAGGCAAGTTAATTTGTGTTGCACATTTCAGTAACAATACAATTCAAAGTGTTTTACATGAAGACAACAAAAAGTGAGTATGTTATAGTGTTGTATGTTGTAGAAAAGAATGAAAAGAAACGTTTGAGTACAGACATGAATGTATTTTTTGTTTCTTAGGTAAAAAATAAAGTAAGTGAATGGAACTAGGAATCTAAAAGAAACACATTGATATAAGCACTATGCATGATGAAGGTTAAAAAATGCATACATATGAGGTGATCAGCATTAGTATTACACATCCCTGCTGCCTTTATGGACAACCCTTAATTTGCATACATTTTCTGCTTGATATTAGGATTTAAGATTGTTGTTTATTTCTGTTGTTTAGCGTTAATCTCAGCACCTCTAGTCATCCTGCATCCTGCCCCTCAGCTGTTGGTCATTTAGTTACTGCTCCAGTATTTCATTCTCCCAGTGCTGTAGCAGGACTTCTTGTTGCTTCCTCCTGTTTTATGCCGTCATGGTTCTATTATTCCCCTGATTCTCTTGATGGTCTTCTTTTGGTTTTCAATTTTCATGGGATTTTGCCAACCTCATTCCTGAGCTTTTGTCCTGTACCGCAGGAAAAATATGGAAGAATGTTAAAAGCAAACATCACTTCATGATTTATAAATATTATGAGTTGATGTTAAATTTTTACTTTATAAAGAATTCTTAATATGTGCAGTCAGACAAATTCAGACAAAAGGCAAAAGGCGTGAAATAGATATATTTGTATAAGTGATTACAAGATATAAGTTATTTCCAATAGAAAAATTATAAACAGCTAAAATTAAGAGAAAACAAATAAATTTTACTTCATGTGTAATTTCTGCATACATGTCAAGTTGGGTTTTCTCCTGCGCTGTAAAAACATGTCAAAACATTGGTGTAATCCACTTGCTGGTATTTAACAAGGTAATGGGCCTCCAGTGATTTTTAAACCACAGTGGGTGGGGAAAGCTTTCTCCTCATAAAAGCTTATTGAGTTGGCAGCAGATTTTTATTGCCTGTAATTTGTAAATAATTCCACAAAGCAAGGCAAAGTAACATTTTCCCTTTAATAATTACTACATTGTAAAAAAAAGTTAAAAGTTTAGTTCCTGGCTTTTCAAGGCTGCTTAAAAAACCATTTAGTGCTGCAAAGCTACAGGAGGCGGCCTCATTTTTAGAATGGGTTCCCACAAAGTGTTAGTTTATTACGTTTTATTACATTAGAGGGAGTCTGTTGGGGTGATTTACTGTTGGCAGGCATCAGTAGTGCAGATCATACTATGCAATCTGAAAATGTCAGTACAGATAACATGGTTCAAACCTACCTTAAAAAAATGATAATCCTGGACCTGGACCTGTTTTGAAAAATCACAACTTCTATTTGAGATTATTTTATTTTGAGGAAAAACATTAGAAGAAAGTGTTTTTAAATCAGCTTCAGCTATTTCTCTAGACAAGTGTTTCCTTACTTTAGTTGTCAAGGGACACTGCCCTGCATGTTTTAGATGTTTATCTGCTTTGACACACTTGATGGAGTCAACAAAAGCCTGTTAATTGGCCATCAATTTGAAATCAGCTATGCTGGAGCAGGGAAACATCTAAAACATGCTGGGCAGTGTGGCTTCAGGACCATGGTTGAAAAACGTGGCTCTAGACAAAATGTATAGAAAGTTTTTGTTCAATTTCTCTTTAATTTTTTAGGGTGATCGGTTAATTAGAATCACTGGCATGTAGTCTATGGTTTTCTGTTTCACTGGTATTACTATGATGTGACATGAGGGTCAGTTATTTTAGCTACTGGACAATTGGGAGGAGCCAAACATATCCTGTTTGGTTCACAGTAAGAAGAATAAGACAGATTAAAAAAAAATTCTCCAAATTGCATTAGAACAAAGAGTGCCAACCTGAGTGTACCAATTTTCAATAGCAACCTTAAGACAGTATCTACATGCCAGCCAGTTATTTAGGAACACCACCACCACAAAAAAGCTCTTTTTTACTATTAAAAATATAAATATGTAGTTTGCTGAATTCTTCTGGGGCTTTAACTGGTGATGTGTATTAGTCAAATAAGGCTAAATAAAGCAGGAGCACTCAAGACTTTCCTGGTCACAGATCACCCTGTTTATATATACTCTAACTGTGGAAGGCTAGGAGACGACAAATAATAGTTTAGTGGCAAAAAGTTGTTTTGTCAGGAGTGGCTATCAAAGTCTGCGCTACCAGTGATTGTGCTGGATTTTATTCCTTGTTAACTGCATCCAAATGTTTTTTTTTGTTATTATTTTTACTTCATGATTATGCTACTTTACATATATTATTGTAAGTTTCAGTTTATTTAATTCAATATTTTTGTATGTAGTGCCAATTCGCAACAAACATTTTCTCAAGGCACTCTCCAGAAAAAGTCAATTCAGTCCAAACATATAGAAACATTGTAAGTCACAGACAGATTGAAAGTCAATCCACATATGAAACATATGACATTTAAGCCATCTGTGTCCAGAATGGCATGTCCCACCATCCAAGCTTTCACACACTCACAAGTATTAATTCTACCAGAATGAATCCAGTGAGCCAGCAGCCAGCTGACAATCACTTTGGATTTGAGCAGCAAGTGGAAGCCTGTTATTTCCCTGCCTTAAACAACATTAATAATCTTTGCCTGCATTTCAACAGCTGCCAACTGGACCAGGCTTGTGCATGCTGGCGAAGGCCATGAAGCTCCTCTTTTTACTAATTCTCTCTCAATGAGCTCAGCTCAGCAAAGAATCTCAGGCCAGTGTATCTTTTCCAATCTCCCCCAGACAAGGCGCCTCTACAAAAGTGTGAAGTTTAGGTTTCTCTTTACTTTTACATTAATTGAAGAATTTGACAATCCGGAGACGTATCAAATTATAATTATTACTCCATAAGTGTATCCAAAAGATTAAACTGTTGTGACTAATGATTTCTTTTTATGTGTTTAACTGATCTAAACTGAGTTGCCTGTATGTATTAACGTGCAGGAAGAAGATATACTGGATCTCCTGGAACGATGTGAGCTGGATGACGAGAAGCTGACGGGCAAATCCTCCAGGCAACGAGGCCCAAAGGTGGGTGAAAGGGAGAGAGGTTGGGAGACACTGAGCACCGAGTGCATAGGGTCCAGATGCCTCATGGGACCTTCAAAAAAGACGAGTGCCAGAGAGAAAGGGATGGAGGTAGTCAGATGCCTGGAGCTAACACTCTGAGAAAGCACATCGGACGTGATTCAGAAAAATAAAGGTGGTGGTGAGGATTGGGGGGAATGGGGGTTGTGGCTGTCTAGCAGCTTTGGAAAGAAAGAAAGGAATCAGAAAGAGGCCCAAAGAAGGGACCCAACTCCCTAAGGGGACAGCTGTCAGCCTGTTTCACCTACGCTCCCCCACTTGCACCCCCTTGCTATCCTTCTCTCTGTCTATCATTCTCTTCTTTTTCCTCTCTGTCACATCCACCTGTAAGCCCCTTCAATTTCCCGCGACAGCACATTACTCCCTCCATCAACTTGCTCCACTCTCCTCCGTTCACCTCTCCATCCCTCTCTCTTTTGGGTGCGTGTACATCATCCCTCATTCGAGGGCTAAATTGACTGGAACACTTGAGGAGTGTGTTAGGGACCAGACGTTGAAGTTCAGCCGTTACGTTTGTGAGGCCCGAGCCAGAATGAGAACTTGTTCAGACACAATCACTGTTGTCCAAATTAATTTCGGGCCCGTCAGCTTCGATGTTGCAGAACGTATGGAGAGAGACATCGGTAACAGGGGGGAAGTAAAGTGCTGTGACGGATAGATTCCCTCTCGAGGGTGAGTTGCTTACAAGCCATCTGGTGGAGCTGAACCAAGCAGAATGTGAAAGCGCGATGAGTGGAGTTAGACAGGATTTTGAAGGAAAGACATGGCACTGATGTTTCTGTCAGCGAAGGAAATGTTAAGGCAGACGGGACAGGAAGTTGAGAAAAAAGGATGGCAGGGAGCTTTATAAGCCTTTTTAATTGCTTTTTGTCTCCAAATCCTAATTTTGATCTACTGTTCTTACGCTTGTGGTTGATACTCTCTTTCCCTACCCTACTGCTTGATTCCTTGTTCAGGATGATTGCTATTCTCACCAAAATTTCATCTCATTTTTAGTGTCTGATCTCTCATTTTTGTCTCCCTCTTCACTGATGAGGGACTGTCTGTCCATGCATGCTTTTCATCTCCTCTTCATATCCAAAATCATCGCCTTTCTGAGTTCATTTCCACCTCTCTTTGCGTATTCAGTCCCTCCTCTGTGCTTCTATTCGTTCCTTTCTGCTGCCACTGCTGAGATTCACCTTGTCCCTCTCTTTACATCTCACCTCATCAATCTGATGTCCCAATCTTCCCTTGTTATTCTCTTCTCATGTATTTAATCTCTCTCTGTCTCTAGCCCCCTTCATCACTCACCCACACGACTACCCAGCGGTGACTCTTTCAGACCCATGATCACTTCCTGCTTATTAATTTGGGTGGCCTTACAGCAATGCCAGACCTGAACACTGAATATCAGATGAAGAAAAGCTTTATCAATGTCCTCATTGTGTCCCCCTTTCAAATAGGGAGATATATTATTAACATTAAACTAAAAACTTATGTTTATTAGCTCATGCTTTACATTTTAATGCACAGACATAGATATTTTCACCTTCTCATCTCTAAGTTCATATTTCGTTAAGAAAATTCTCCATGTTATCAAAAGCGCTCATGTACCATTTATTTGAAGAATTGAAGGAAAACAGCTGCTGAAGAATGAATAATAAGCTTCTGCCTTAACATTGCTCTTTTATGTAGATAGTTTTTGTTCAAGCTAGAACATTTCCATTGTTAGTGGTTGCACTGATTCTATGAGTAAAATCTTCTAACACAGGCAAAACCTCCCACTCTTGCGTCCTTATGAGTCCAAGTTGAACTCCAACTTGAAGAGTTCAGACTTCCATATTTTTCCCTTAATACTGATAGTAGATAAAGTTGAACACCTGATGGCTGGAGTTGGAGTATGTGAGGAGGAGCTTCACCATGCAAGGTCCTGAAAGTTAAATTCAGGATTTTAAAATTAATTCACTTAACAAGTAAGACCTTAAATAAGGAGTGACGTGAGCTCCTTTTCGTTCCAAATGAGATCCTTACAGGTGATCTTCAGTCTAACCCTATTATGCCATAGTTCATTTAAATAGGAGTGAGATATCTCACCAGATCACTCTCCTTGCCTGGAGCAAGGAAGAAGTGTGCGTACAAGACCGGAAATCTCCTGCATAATGTGGGGCATTTATACTGAGCAGAAGTCCATCTTCCTCGGAGTTGACATCAGGACTGGCATAATGTAATAGAGCTTCTGGTAGACAGACGGTAGTGGAGCATCACCCACAGTGAGATACATCACTCATATCTCAGAGAACAGAGGTTATATCCTTAACCTAAAAGTTTTCACAACTGTCATTATGGAAGGAGGACTTCCATAATTAAGTCCTCCTTTTTTCTTGATACTCTTTAAGGTCATGCTATTAAAGTAAACAACCAATAGTGGTCTTACAGGCAGATTGCTCCAACTGTCCTAAACTACGGATTTCCTTTGCTCCATTTTACATTTTCCCTTCCACTTAAGAGATATGCACTACTTTGTGTTAGGCTGTCACCTATGGAAATACTTTCAGGTTTGTGGTTGTCATGGGACATCATGTGAAACATCTGAATTGTTGTCGCTTGAAAGTTGATTTTGTAATAATGTGTCTGGTAACTTATATGTCAAGATTAATGACTTTGTCTGTGAAATGCATGTTATTTTTATATTCTGCTGTTATGTGTAGAGTATGTTCTGAGCATCTGTTTCTTTGTTGTTGCCAGCCCTTGACCGCCATGCCGGAATGCAGCCAGACGCCAAGAGGCCAACGACCAGACTACCTGGCTGACTTCTCCAGTGGCAGCAGCGAAGATAATTCATGCTCGTCGTCCAATGAAGAGGAGGAAGAGGAGACAAGAAAAACAGAAGAAGTGGAAATTAAAGAAAAGAGAGGCGAGAAGAAGGTCTCCTATGACCTCAGTGAAAGCAAGGAGAAAAACGTGGCTGAGCGCTCAGGTAGGGCAAAGGGTCTGGGACTGCCTTATTAGAAAGGCAGAGTGTGACATCTGATTGGAAGGTTCTTGTGTTTTTGTCTGTCTTTGCCAACATAAAAAAGAAAAAGCAGTTACCATGGACAATAGAGGCCTAGAGAAACATGAAAGAAATATTGGCAGATGAGGCAATTAAAAATTTATTGAGGCTAATTAAAACTCTGGATGATTGAACTAAAGCTTTATGCAGGTAAACAAATATTATTTTAAAAAAATAACGTTCAGTGTTTTTGTCAAAACTGAAAAATTCAGTGTTGATATTCATTTGGAAATATAAATCCAAGTTATTAATTAGACTAGGCTAATTAAGTTAAAAATCAGTTTTTTCTGGTGGAAATAAGTGAGCCAATATTTCTACAGAAAAGCAGACGGTATGAATCAATAGTTTACGTTCTGGCCTGATTACTAGAGTTATGTTGAAGGTAAAAAAAAAAGATTACTTGAGGTCAGTGATACTAGATAGGTTACAGACTATACAAATGGACTAACTTTACAATGTTCAACTTTTAAAATGTCTCTAACTTTGTTAAAAATATGACTTCACTACAGATATCTTCACCTCAGTGAAGCAGTTCACATAAATCGATAAATGACCCGGCCTACAAACACTTAACAGGTAGAATGAAGAAATAAAAGTTCCTGAAACAAGATTGCCGAAGCACTCTGCTGGATAATCGAAACACTTTTGCAAACTATTTCTTATTTTCTGTTTACTCTTATGAAACTCTCTTAAAGAGTGATGAAGACAAAATACTTCCCTTCACGCTTTTAAAAAATTTAGTCATCCAAGGCAACAACAATTTTTTAAATGGAAATGACTAACTCTGCCAGTATGCACTCATTTGCCATTTTAATAAGTACACCTGTGCAGTTGATAGCATACTAGCTAATCATATGACAACAGCTGAATGAAGCACTGAGGACGAGAAAAAAAGGGAGATTTACAAATATGTTGAACAAACGTGATCATTGTTGGCAAGTGCTGATCTACTAGGGTTTTCACTCACAACCAACTCTCAAAAACTTTCCACTGAGTGGCAGTCATGCTGATAAAAATACCTTTTTTGATATCAGAGGTCAGAGGAGACTCATCAGACTGGTTCAAAGTGTAGAAAAGGAACATTGGCTCAAATAACCACAGGTTGTGAAAACATTAATGCTAGAATTCACACAGGCTCTCCAAAATGTGACAAAAAAACACATTGGAAAAAAAAAATACACTTGGTTTAATGTTAGCCCCAGCATTTATATGTTCAGGTCATGATGTAGCATAAAAAATCTGAAAAAAATATGGATTCATTCTGTTTCCATAAACAGTTTAACCTGATGAGGGAATGGGGAACATTTTCTTGGCTCACTTTGGGCACCTTAGTGCCAGCTGAGCAAAATTTAAACTCTACTGCATATTTTTACTGACCATGCCCATCTGTTCATGACCACAAAGTGCCCATCTTCTCAAAGTGGTTTCTTGAACATTATAATGAGTTCATTGTACTGTGATGGCCTCCTTAGTGACCAGATCTCAGCCCAGTTGAGCAACTTTTGGACATTATGGATTTACAGCTGGTAAAACTGTAGCAACTGCTTGATGCCATTATCTCAATGCGGTAAAAACAAATTTGGACGAGTGTTTCTGACACTTTGTTAAGTCTGTGACAGAAAATATGGAGAATGTTTTGAAGAAAATAATGGGTCAAATCTGGTACTATTATGGTGTACACCAGGGTTACGGTGAGGTTTTATGGATTGAGAGAAATTCAAATTTGCACATCACTTACTTTAAAATGAATGTGCTTTCTCATTCATTCAGATACATTCATATACAGCTTTGTGTCGTACACTTGGGCTATTTCTTACTTTCTACGTAGCAATAAATGTACTGATACATTACAGTACTATAGATGTGACTCCATATCTACTCTATCACTAAAATACATGCCAAACTCATCTGTTCTTTTTTAATTATACCATCATGAATTTTACCATCAAAGCCTGTAAAATGGGTTGTGAGAGTTCAGCTGTAGTTACTTATTATTTTGGAGGATTTCTCTCTGATATTTTATCCCAGTGAGTATGTTATTACGTCAGATGGATGGACTCCAAACTGTTTGGAAATAACCTTATAACTTTTCCTTGATTGATTGGCAGAAACTCACAAAGTTCATGTCTTAGAGTTCCCCTCTGTGGAACACACTTCTATCGTGTCTAACTTTTTAGGAAAGATTTTTCAGACACCTAAAGGTTTGGGTCAAAACTGACTGGTATCTGAAACACTTCACGGTTTCTCCCCACCTTGACTGAAAAACTAATTCCATCTGAGTATGATGGTATTATTTTGTTGATGCTGAGTACAAGGAGACCAGAATAGATTTTAGTCAGGTCTGGATGTTGCCTTTGGAAGAAAAAGCTGTAACCTTGTAAGCCTGCTCCATAGGTCAGATATAAGGTGAATAAAAAATATGATGGTTGTCTGTCCATTTGTAACACAACCGGATTTTATATATGAAAACATTGCTGCTCATTCAGTATTGCCTCTGGTCTCTTAGCAGCCTCCTTGACCAGTTATCATATTGTCTTTTTAGCAAATGTGGAGCAGCCTTTAGGTTTTCTAATGACAATTCTCCAGTGACTAATGAGCAGTTTCTCTTTGCCAAAATTCCCACATAATGCTGTTGACTTTTCTCTATTCTTCTGTTGTTCAATAAGATGCTTTTGATTTTCTCTATAAGCTCTTTGTAAACTACAACTTACCTTCATTCAGTCATTATCTATGTCCTCTTATTCCTTGTGGTGCTTCAGGGGACTGTAGCCAATTCCTAGTGGTTAATAGGAGAGGCATGGGTATACCCTGGACAGATCACCAGTTCACCATAGGACGACACAGTGACACACAGAACAAACTTCCATGCATGCAAACACTCATTCCTATGAGCCATTTTGAGAGGCCAATCAACCTAGCATGTACCTGGAGTGAAACTATGTATGTATTCAGAGAACATGCATAGTCCATGTAGAAGCACCCTGGCTGTGATTTGAATTCAGAACCTTGTTACTCCAAGGCAACGGCATCAACATGCAACTGAAAACTGAATTTTAATGGATGCAATTGATACAAAGTCAAGGAAATCTAACTTGGACAGTTAACCTTTACTTCAGCTTAATTGGATTTACTTTAGTTATTAAATTTGTACAAATAGCAGGGTTTCCCCCAGTGTGTTATAAACCTGGTGGGCCACCAGGCTAGGCATTGCTTATTTTTTAAGTCTTTTTAAAAGGCTTAAAAAAAAATTAAGACTTTATAGTTGGTGTTCGGGTATTAATCTTCCGATCTTTTAATAACACATAATTATCAAGTGATATTTTCAAATTTCCTGCCAGCTTTAAACGTTTTTTAACTCAAAAAGATGACTGGCTGCTGGATGAATGACTGCCCTAGCATCCAACCACCGGCCTTAGCAAGTTTTCTGGGGGAAGCCAAAATTTGAACAAAATATGTTTTAGTAAATTTAAATTGAAGGCAAGTTTATACAACCAGATTAATGCAGGGTTTTTTTTTTCTTTTTAATAAATTTTTATAACAGGGTGTTTTGGTATTTTGACTTGTAGAACGAGTTAAAACACCAAATGTTGCCAGGTGTTATGGTTAGACTGATTAGCTCTTTAACTTATTTTAAGTGTGTGTAAGGATCACTTAAGAAATTATTTTACGTCCATATCCAAAAAAGGTCAGAATTAAAGTATGATCTTCTCAGAAGGTGGTATTAGGGCCTTTGTTGTTATGCTTACCTGAAGCAATAAATGATGTATGTTCCTTCCCTAATTGCTGCTGAACAATCCTAATTTGTGAGTTCGGCAATATGGCTAGTTTTGCCCATGTTTGTTGGTAAAACAATTTTTCAGGAGTACAATCGCCGATGGAAAGGGCCACAGCACTGGGTGAAGTTAGGCATAGAAATAAACAGGAGACATTTGATGGAAATAGAAGAAGAGCGCACCTTTTTGTAAAACACCTTGAAAATACCTTGAGGGTTTGTGTAGAATTATACAATTTTATAGCAAGAGTGATAAGCCTCATACATTTCCTCCAATTCACAACAGTCACATGTACTGAATCACTTTTTTGCTCTTAGAAGTGAGAAAAGAGAACACTTTTCACAGAAGTCAATGCACTGACCTTGGCTCAGAAATTCTCTGGTTGCATTGTGGGCTGAGTTATAGCGCCCAAGGAGAGGAGTCTTGCATTAACCTATTCAATTTATCACAAAATGAGGGGCTAAATCATGGAAAAGAGTAACGTTCTTTGTGGAAACGTATGCATACGTGTGTGTGTGTGTGTGTGGGTGTGTGTGTGTGTGTGTGTGTGTGTGTGTGTGTGTATGCAGAGAGACAGCAACCTTGCCAAGTCCTTCTCCATACCAAGCCACCAAAGGACTGCTACAACTAAGCTCCATAATGCTCACAGTTGGCACTGACCAAACCTTGGAAGATTCAGCAGTCGGAAACACACACAAACACGCATACTTGTAAGCTTGGTTTACGACGGACGCACACTAATACACTGGCTGATAGACAAGCTGGAACAGTCTCCAGGTTTATAGACCGAGTCTGTGACAGTTTTATGTGTAATTCTCTACGAGCTTACTTATGTGTGTGCGTGTGCGTGTGCGTGTGCGTGTGTGTGTGTGTTTGAGATGGAGCTGCTCTTTAATCTACCCTCAGACCTTACAAGAACCAGATTTCTGCTAAATTTCTGGCATTGACAACACAAGACTGACTTGCTAATAACACAAAAACTGAACCGCTGGGTCAGTGTGTCACACTTCATCTCATGACGTAGGCGCCAAAGGATGCAAAGCAGGCAGGAGAGCTTGAAAGCCTGACAAAGACATTGTGAAATCTGAGGAGCGCAAAGCTGTTTTCTCAGTCTCAAACACTTTCTTTTCAATGTTTCCTGTGTCTTTACAGGCCGCATGTTCTGGAAACCTCCAATCAAGTCCCCCAAAACAGGCACTACTCCCTCTGTGTCTCCGACCCTTTCTGGTCCAATCAGACGTTCTATCTCTTGCCCTCGGTGCATTGCCTCCCTCCCGTCACCCAATGAGATGCGATCATTTTCCACCAGGCCATCTTCGATGATTCCGATGGCAACGCCTCTCGCCAGGCCGAGCTCCGCGACGCTGAGCTCCGCCGCGATTCGCTCTCATTCGCTGAGCCGCAGTGTCTCCGCCCACCGTGTGCCTCACAGCAGCAGCCTGGGGACTATCCACTCTAATGTGGTAGGATACTCAACATACCTAAGCAGAAACCTTTGATGTGTTAAAATATAAAATATGCTTATGCATAGTTCATTTTTAAGTTGTTAGTTCAACCTGTAAACCTTAATTTTTAGCTGTTTTTCATTTGACTATAATAGTACTGTTGATTTTTTAAAAACAGATATATCAGGTTACTGCAGCCCAGGATAATGACCTTCAAATGTGCCCATCTGTTGCTTTCTGCCTTCCTTCTCAATTTACCTTCCTCTTTCACAGCTTGTCTTCTCTTAGTACTGTTGAATAAAATGAAACCAGGCGTTTACAGAGTTTACATAGTCACGAATGACTTTTAAAGATGCATTTTAACTTATTTCTTTTTAGGGTTTTTTCCAGGTAGAAAGAAAAGGGAATACATTTTTGAAAATAATATTTCATTGCAGACATTTTAATTTAATGTAGACTAATTCACGTAAGCTCACATTTAGACACAGTCACACACATATATGGCTCTGGAAAAAATTAAGAGACCACTCAAAATGATCAGTTTCTCTGATTTTACTTTTTATAGGCATATGATTGATTAAAATGAGCATTATTCTTTTATTCTAGGAACTACTGACAACATGTCTCCAAAATTCCAAGCAAAAATTTTGTATTTATTTGCAGAAAATGAGAAATGGTCAAAATACCCAAAAAGATGCAGTGCTTTCAGATCTTATATAATGCAAAGAAAACAAGTTAATATTCATTTAGAAACAACAATACTAACGTTTTAATTCAGGAAAAGTTCAGAAATCAATATTTGGTGGAATAACCATGAGGTTTTCAATGAGGTTCAGTGCAGTGGTCTCTTTTTTATGTACACCTGCAATTTAATTGGTGAATTCAATAAGGATCCCACTTCTCTAATTTTTAAAACTGAAAAGAAAATGTTTTTCTTTGTGTGTAAAAAGGTCCGAACTCACTTGCATGCATGTTATTTTTTCTGCATTTTATGCGGTGAGTTCACCATTGCATGTAATTTTGCCTTGTCTTGAAGTGCAGGGAGCTGCACTTCAAGATGGAAGCACCTAAGTAATTCTTAATGTTTGCATATTTCATAATTTTAATGTTTGAATTTGTCCACTACTGGAATGGGATGCCTGGAAACCAACAAATTTTGGATTAGTTCCTCAGGAAAAAAAATGATCAAAAATCCAATCAGAATTTAGCCAAAAGCTTATTTGGAATTGCGACTAAGAAAGTGTGTGGTTTTTTTCTTAACCTTCCTAAATGACAAAAAAACCTAATATTGGTAGTGGAATGTATATCTAAGCCTGTATCCATAATTTTGATCTTGTATGGGGTTAGAGAAAATCCACAATAAATCTAAATTTGTGCATCCAATTCTAGTTTTAAAATGTTTATTGCAGTTGTTGTATTATTAATTCACTCCCCTGGTAAAAGAAGGATTCACATGCAGATTCAAATGCAGCATCATGTCAGTGATGCTGTGTGTGTACAGTTTTGTTCTAAGTTGGCATGTACATGTTATTAGGGGGAACCGTTGATAAGCTTGAAGGCTAAGGAGCAGGAGGCCGACATGGTGCGTCAGACCCTCTCAGCGCTCACCGCCATGCGGATCAGATTTCCAGGGAAGACTGAAGAAGAGGCTGAGGCAGTGCTAGACGAGGTGGGCAAAGATTTCTTATAGACAGGTCATTTGTTTAATTACATTTTCTTTTTTAATTGTTTTCTGCTGGGATAAAAAAAAAAAAAAAAGGTAATTTATAAGAAACAAAGAAACCAAGACATGCTTTGAGTTTCTCTGTTGCCTGCTTGGTTGTTTTTACAGTGTAGCTACGATTCATCTCCCAGTCTCACTTTACGATAGCATGTCAGCTCAGACTTGTCTTCCTCTATATTTGAAATGAACCCAGCAACAGTTTGCCTGCAGTCCAATGCTGTTCTCCTCCACTCCTTTCTATTAATCACAGCCACTTCCTTTGTAATTGCATGGAAACTGACAGGAGAGGGCCCTGCTATTTTAAATTTGTATGTGCAGATGGTGCATATTTTAACTATTTTTTATCAATGTACATTTGTTAATCAGCTAGTAAAAAAACTTAAATATAGTCAAGTTTCGATTTATGAAAATAAAGGCACATAATGTCAGGCTCCCCTGCAAACTGTAAAGCTCATCTTGAATCTATAATGTAAAAAGCACTGTGAATATGTGAAGCAAGTAATAATATCTGTTAGGCAATAATATCTATGTATGTAAAATTAATGAGCAAATTAATTTGGGAATTTTATTACATGTAAGCCATAATCATCAAAGTAAATGAAGTCTGAAATATGTCGTTCTTTGTGCAATGGCCTTTTTTATAAGATTACCACTTTTTGATTTAGAATTAAATTAATAAATTCACTTTTTGGGATGATCAAGTTTACTGAGATGAAGCTTTTCTATGCACTAAGTAGGGTTCCTCTACGTCTCTGCATGTTGTATAAATAGTATAAAATCTAAGGATACGTGGGGCACAAGATTCGACAATCAGCTTCAGTTTTAGGACTACAAATTTCTCTTGCTTTTGTTTTACTAAATTAATAAAAATATATTTTTCTTGACATGACTGACTTTCATCAACAAATAATGGATTTTAGCTGTTATGATTTAAAATTACAACTTGCTGCAGGCAATACAGACTCCAAACTATTTTTTGTGATTACCACTGCCCCTCCTGTACGCAAAATGAAAGCACAGCTGAGAGACTGCACCTGTACTGTTGACTCCTTAACTCAGAGGAGGAGTATTCACTTCGCTTATTTTGTTTTCTGTAATGATTCACAGTTGAGAGGCTTAATTCATATTTGTATCTGAGTTATTGTCTCACTAATCTTTCACTGAAAGTCTCTCATTTTTTTATTCCAGTTAACGATCGGCTGATAAGAGACATTTCTTATGTGCATTTTTTGTTGAAAAATTTGCCCACATCTTGATATGTAAAATAAAGAGCATAGCAGAAGGGAAAGTTTTATTTTTATTTTTGTCTGTTTTTGCCTTTTTTTTTTAAAGACAAACATAAAGATTTAGTCTATGAAACAAATGTCCCCATATTGCAAAAAATACTGAGTTCCAGCTGTGCACTTGCAGTTAGCATTAAACAAGTGGCTAAGGAAAAGCAAACCTGCAAAAAGACGATTTTTAAAAAACATTGGAAAGCCACTTGTATGTGGATATGTGTGTGTGAGAACAGAAAGGTAAATTGCACTGGAGCTTTCCACTGTGAGCCCTCTTTGCAGGGGATCTAGCACCTTATGTGACATAAGTACATCAGTGGGGAAGTGTGGCTTAAGTCAACTCAGCAACAGCAATGGGTGAATATGCACTTTTACTCTGGTTCTATAGTAAGAAAATGAGAATTACCCACACAGCTTTTAAATATATCAAAACATACAATTTTTTTTTTTCCCAACATAACCTCGATAAGTAGGAGTTTTTTTGTTGTTGTTGAGATTTTACCATTTCACAGGATTGTAAAAGAGTCACACATATAAAGGAGAAAAAAATTTCTAATTCTGGTTACAGGAAGTATTGTGACATGTGATTTTGTAAAGGTTAACATCTTTCCCTTGATTAGAGTATAAAGACAGGACTCAGAGCACTAACAAGACAAGACGGTCTATGTTGTGCTGCTGTAAACAGTCTGTCACCTTCTGCTTTCCTGTGCAGCTTGATGTGGCAAATATTGTGCAAGGAACCCAGTGTCTAATGGTGCCGTCACGTTTGAACATGGAACTCTATTGAAACGAGGAGCGATTTGACGAAGGCGCGAGGCGATTAGATTAACCATCAAACAGACCCAGCAACACTGCAGTTTTCAGGGTTTGATAGGTCTTCCATAATGAGTCCAACTAAAATATTGTTTTGATATTACTAAGATGTTTTTTTTTTGTTTTTCCTTTCTGTAAGGAAACATTTTTGCTATTCTTTAACCTAGTGTTTCACTGGAAAGAAAAATCCTGAACACGAGTGTCTAAAAAATAAGTTTAAACGATGAATAAATTTACCTTAATAGTTTTCTCTCTGCTCCTACGTAAACAAAAGAAACCTTGAATGCTCAGAGAAGATGGTTAATGTTTAATGCAACTGGAAGTTTCCATCTCATAAAATGGTCTTTAATAATAGATTTGCTTTTTGTTTGTAACAAGCATTTCCAAAGCTTTAACATTAATGCTCATCACACAGATTCTCGACAACTGGAGATACCATAAATCAAAGGTGGCGTCATATTGGTTGGTGAAGCTGGACTCGACCAAACAGCGGAAGGTGAGTCGCAAAGCAGAATCCAAACTCCTTGGCAGTTCTTAATTGATTTAAGTCTATTGTAACTGTATCTTTATGTCTGTATCTTTGTCTATGATTCACATCTATTTTAATTTCTCAAATTTGTATTTTATTCAAATTTTACACCAGCACAGAGTAGAGGATAGTCCAGAACTGGAAGAAAAATAATGCACGACTTTCCCATTTTTCTTTTTTTCAAATAAAAATCCGAAAAATGTGGTGTGTATGTATTCACCCCCTGATGCCCCTAAATAAAAACCCAGTGCAACAAGTTGCCTTCAGAGTTCATCTAATTAGTCAATCAATGTCAAGAAAATCCAAGAAACACAACAGACAAGTAAGACATAAAGACATAAAAATCATCTCAAAGATCATGCTTTAGTCTGTCTCAAAATGGGAATATTACATCACAAATACAAATCTCCCAAAAAATTATCATCCACTAAACTAGCCGAGACAAGATGGCCTTAAATCGAGCAGCCAAGAGACCTTTGGTAACTCTGGAGGAGCTAAAGAGATCATCAACTCAGGTGGGAGAATTAGTTCACAGGATAACTACTAGTTTTGAACCCCTAAGATCTTGCCTTTGTAGATTTACTGGTATCTTATGGTTAAAGTAAAACCATAAGATGTCCCATTTAAAATTTCATCCATCCATCCATTTTCCCCCATTTTCCAAGAACGAGTAGTGAGGCAATAATTCTATTAGAGGAACCCAGACATTTTTCTCCCCAGTGACCATCTGCAGCTCATTATGAGGAACCCAAAGTCATTCCCAGGCCAGAAGGGAGACAGAGTCCCTCCAGCAAGTTTTGGGTCTGCTCCAGGGCCTTATCCCAGAGGGACAGGCCTGGAGAAGCTCCAGAGGGAGGTGCCCAGGAGGGATCCTGATCAGATGTTCCAACCACCTTTGCTGACTCCTTTTGATGCAAAGGAGCGGCGCCTCTACTCCGAGCTCTTCTCAGATGACGGAGCTTCGCAGCCTGTCTCTAAGGTCGAGTCCAGCCCACCTAAGAAGAATGTGTATTTCACATTCTGATTGTCTGATCAAAGAATCTTGTTCTTTGATCAGAGCCGATGTCTTGTTACCAATGTAAGAGCTTCCCTTTGGGGCTCAGCTGTTTTTTCATCGAGACATTTTTAACTCCACGGTTTTTATGAGCAGACCATCCTTTCCCTGTTCCGAACCAAATCCTCAGGCTCAAAATCCGACTCCCATCCCAGCTGCTTTACACTTGGTGATGGAAGAAAACCTGTTGGAGGCTCCGTAAACATTTAAACTTGGGCGGACATTAGCCTTTCAGCAGGACGGTGACCTTAAACATACAACCAGATCTAAAATAGAACTATTTAGGTCAAACCATAGTAATGACCTAGAATCTTTAACAAGAGCTGAATATTGATGAACTGAGCTGCTTTGCCAAAGCAGCTGAAGTCTGAATCAGAACCCCTGATACAAAACCTGAGTTACAAAAGAAAAAGCTTGAAATAAAAAGACTTGAAAATAAAATTGTGTTTTTATGTTTGTTTGACTTGGTAAAAGTTTAGAGAAACGTGTTTCTTTCCAACATGTCGTCAAACATCATAAGAGAAAAAGAGAACTGGTAAGCTTTATCTTTTTTTAAAATTAATTTAGGAAAAATAAAGATAACAAATTAGTCTCCCAATTTCTCAAAAGAAAGCCAGCTCTGGGTAAAGAAAAGACAGCAAAAATATATAGTTTAAGCTTTTGTTGTTTATTTTAAATAGATAGGACCAATATGACTCCCACTGTTCGCAAATGTGATTTGCTCAAAAGTGAGTTGATTCATGATTTGCATTGGGTTGCATTATATTTTGCTATGTATAAAACTGAAGTTATGTTTTTAAAAGCATGTTGTTACTTATGTCCATGTACCCATCAAAGTTACTCTGAAGATCAGTTTAGGTTCAAGTTGTTGCTTTTTGTCAAAATATATTGTGAATGCTTTGACATGGTTTTGGGAAACACCTCTTCCCAGTTTTCTGATGGTTCAAAATAAAAAAGGTTTATTTTGAACCCTGTCTAGGACACATTTCTCTGAAATAATGCTTCATTTATTTTATTTTTTAAATGTGGGACACATTTTTCTTTCAGACACAATTCGCCATGATAATCCTTTCTTTTTTTTTGATGTTAGGTCTAAAAGTGTTAAAAATGGGGCTCATTTATCTTTTGACGTCCGTATAAATGGCCTGCCTCTGCCTTTGCTGTCAGGGCTTCTATACCGTCGCCTTGCACGGAATGGATGTTGTTAAAACCAGCGAACATGACAAAATGTCACTGCGCCTACCTATTTCTGTGAAAGCTTTTGAACAACTTTTAAAACACGAAAAGTAATCCCCAAATCAAACTTTAGAGGAAAAAAAAAAAAGGAGCAGGAAAAAAAAAACATGACAAACATGAAGATCATTACCATGTCAGACCATGGGAGGTAGATCCACCAAAAAAGATGTAAACAAAACAGAAGAGGGGACAAGACGTGAAATGGCATCCAGTAGGCGTGTCAGTAATGATGTGATCTCTCAGCCATTGCTTTCTGCACCGCTGTGCTCAGCTGTGGGCCTCGGTGGCGTGAGCTCATGTTTATTTGGAGTGAAGCAGCCTAATGAGCAGCAGGCAGAGGTCAGGAACGTAGCACCCACCGCTCCGCCGCCTGATTACCATACCAAGACATATCTGTGTGTGTTTACTCATCTATCAGTTTGTCTGAGAGCGCATGCATGCCCTGTTCGCCTCATGCTGCTGTGGGGAAATCTCACTTCTTTTGCATCGATAACAAACACACACACACACACACACACACACACACACACACACACACACACACACACACACGTGGATGCACAGACGGACAAGCACTTCAGTAATGAGGAGCGAGGAATCAAAGTCAAAAGAGCCTCAGCACTGCTCTGAGCTGGGATGAAAAGGGGAAGAAAAGGGAAGAAATAGATGGTTGTGAGGTGGGAAGGGATAGGAAAAAGGAAGAGGGGGAAAGATGGAAGCCTGGTGAAGGTGTCTGTGGACCACCCGGGAACTTCTGACACCTTATCTCCAAGACTGACATTGGTGCAGCAATTAGCTCTCTTCCAGGCTCTCCACTGTCTGCCCCAATGGTTTTTCGTCCTAGCTTGCAGCTCAGCCACACACACACACACACACGCACACACACAAAGACATTGGATTTGTATCTTTGCATGGAGACTTCTTTGAAAGCACTGACTAAACTGCTCAAATAGTCAGTGCACAGTGGAAAATTTGATTAAAGTTTTTCTTCAGTCGGTTTGTGTTGTTGAATATGCATTTTTCACCGGATTTATTCATAAATGCAAGCTTGCTCTTTGTTGGTGAGCAAATTTGGGAGCCTGTGTGATTGCTAATTTCATGGTAAGATCAACAGGGAAAAAACAGGAAGAAATTACAACGGGAAGAAATGCCAAGTTCTGCATATAAATAAGAAACGTCATTATGTATTTCATTGCAACAAACACACCTATTACTTGCACAACTTTGAACCTGAAGTAGCTGTTGTTTTTCTCTTCATCTCACACTTACTTTCTGGTTGCCTCAGGTGTTGGACATTGTTCGTTCAAACGTTCGCCTGGTGCTGCAGCGGATCTGGAGGGAGCCGGACGTAGAGAACCTGCACCTCTATCGGCTTTTTAAACGCGTCTTCAATCGACTGTTGTGGAGTCATGGCCAGGGCCTTTGGAGCTGCTTCTCCAACACCGGGTAGGCTGGTCTGAGCTCGACTAAAGCTGCGTCTACAAATGAATTCTATTAAAATGAACAAACGAGGCAACAGCCTTAAAATTATACTGAACAGAAAACCAGTGGGTCTGTTCTAAATACGCTGTCCTTCAAAATTGTTTGCACCTCAGGTATGAAGCCCTTCAATGATTTGCTTTGAATTCATCACACTGTAAAAAAAAATAATCTATTTTTAATTCCTGTACTTTTATTCAATAGGAGGAAAGAAATTCCTTCGTCATGAGATATTTTTCTACCTGAAATCATGACACTTAGTTTTCTCCTAATTTGTCTCGTACCCTTTGTTTTTTTTTTAGATGCTCCACAGTCTAGAGTACTCTCTTTTCAGCTCACTTCGCAAATGTTCTCCATGATTTGGGCCTGCGGCTGGCATGTTCAGGAGAAAACAAATGTTGATTTTGTGTCTGGTGAACCATTGTCGTTTTGGGTCTTTCATGTAATCTCGCTGAAAGACCCAGTGATAACCTGTTTTCAGAATTCTATGAGAGGCCAACACATTTTACTTTAAAGTGTTCCTGGGTTTACAATAAGAGTTTATGATGCCATGCACTCTGACAAGGCGCCCAGGCTCTTTGGAAGTGAGACAATCCCACATCATTACAGATCCTCCACCATGCTTAACAGAAACATATTCATCACTTGTTTCACTCCAGAATCTCCTGCAGTATTTCTTGCTGAAAACTTTGATGTCATTTGATCAAAGCAAACGGTTCCGATTAAAATTACAGTAGCACATTAACAATGCATGGTAGGACAGAATGAGCGTTTTCCTGACATGCCTCTTGAATATTCAGTTGACTTGTAATCTTTTTCGTTTTTTGCATTTAACCTTCATTTAATCGAGTTAAGAACAAAATAACAACCTGGTGGAAAAGTGTGTAATGATTGTTATGGAGACTTGGTCCTCAAAAAGCCAGTCTTTGCTGCCAGGAGCTTTGAATATTTTATACTCCTCTTGTTTTTCTCATCACTTTGGGTGGAAAGAAAGTCGACTTTTTGTCCAGCCTTGCTCGTCACAGGTCCAGTTGTTTTAAACTTTTTAGTAGACACTGAGGCTTTACTTATGGGCAACCATTTTCTTGTTGCTTACTTGCTTATAAAGATAAGACACATCTGCATTATTTGAATGGCATGTTCTCTGGTTTTACCAATTTAACACTAGCTAAGAGAAATTAGTCTTTTTGTCACGTCAGAGTCATATAGAAAGAGCAAAAGATAAACAAAAAAAAAAAAGTTCAACATTCTGATAAACTTTAAAAAATTTTAAGTATCAATCACAAAAACTCTTGAGTTATATTTATTTTTCCAGAATAAGTATAAAATGATTTCGACATGAGATGAAGTGGGATGTACTTGTCGCAAAATCAAACAGACAAAAAAGAAGAAAAAGTATCACAAACCACGAATGAATTTGAATCGCTTGCAGTCAACAGAAACAAGTGTTTGCACTCCAAGCCAATTACTACTTCATTCATTGCATCACTCCTCCATCTCCATAACTAGAGGCTCATGCACTGCCTAGGTTCCCCATGCCTGTGAGCCCTCCATTCATCAATAAACCAGTTTTTACTGACAGCAGGGACAATTTGGCATTTCCAGTCAGTCTGACTTCAGAAAAAAAAATGTACAGGCTGAAAGATGGAGATGTGGAGTGACTGACAGATCAAGCAGACCCCACTGCACTTTCTCCACTTAAACCGGGCCTAATCAGGGCTTATTCACAGGTGAGAGCAGGGAGAAAGAGAAAGGGAGGAACGGAATCGGGTGGGAGGTGAATGAAGGCCTCTTTAGTTCAGGCTGTTATCTGACAGTCTGAAGTCTTCTTGTGGTTTATTTTTTTTTTAAGTAATATTTACTTTAAATTCAAAGAGAAGTTCCCTTTTTCCCCCACAAGTGATACATTTCAGTAGTTGTTTTTCTAAAAAAAAAAAAACAAATAGAAAAAAAACACTTTACATCGAGATCAGTTGGGGTTTGTCCCGTAACTAAAGTCTTACAAGCATTAATCAGACAACAAGCGGAAAGATTCAGACGTACCACCCCGACCTGCTGACAGCTGCTGAACTGCTGGCTTTTCATCTCCTTTGAGATAAAGGTGTGACCTTCTCACATCTCCTAGTCTCCATATCATTTACAGTTCAGTTGTTCGGCGGCGTGTTCCCCCTGGCACAGAGGGCTCAGGGGGGGTAACTCGAGTCGCCATCCACAGCTCTCCACTTTGCTCTCCTGCTTCCATCAGAGTCCTAATTGAGGGCGAGTGTGGGAGGGAGAGAACAGGTGACCGAGATGAAGCGCTTGATAAGAGTAGGGACAGTCAAAGACTAACTTAGTGACTGAGAGAATTTGGAAAGTGATTGAAAAGGAGAATTTGTTTGAAATGGCAGGGATTGGGTGGAGGGACATTAGCCTGCAAGGATTAGTTTAGCCAAGGCTGCATCCCACCCCCCTCGTTTTATCTTTGTCTGATCACAGCGTGGTCTTGGATGATACAGCTAGCTCTGTAGCCTATCGCCTGGCCTCCTCCTTTCAACGTGGCACGTTCTAACATGGATGAACCCAACAGGGAGCCCCGTATCACGCAGAGACAGTGAGGCGGTTACTGCTCCAAAAGCACCCTCTAAATCCAGGGTGAAGACCCCCTCCTTGCTCCTCTCTGTCTCTTGTTTGATATTTTATCTGAGGGACTTAACAACAATCAAACGGCCCAGCAGCTATTGTGGGAAATGAATTCAGCAGGCTTTAAGAAAGGACTTAGGAAGAGGAGAATGGAAACACAGAGTTCTGAACCCTTTCAGAGGAAGCACGTCCCACCTCCCAAGGAGCAAAGAGGGGAAGACATCAAAACTTCCCCCCCGGGGTTGTCTGTCTCAGTTCTTGAAACTCTCTCCCAGTCAGGGGTATGTATAGGATTGTTAGGAGGGTTAACTGTACTTGGATTTGTTTCATCCCTCCTCCGGGTTTAACCCCATGCCGGTAGATTTCAGAGTGTATGCAGATGTGTTTGCACTCATCAACAGGGAAAAGGTTACGCTGTGGTCATAATGCATACATAATTAACTTGTAAGCGAGGCTTCCTGGTGATGTTTATTACTCGTGTGCTAACTGGGCTCTCTGCTCTTCAGCTCGTCGTGGGAGATCATCTTCAGCAAGAGCAGTGATGCGGTGTCGCCCCAGGAGCTGCAGTGCTGTCGCCGACTCGTCCAGCTGTGCCGGGACTGCCTGCTAGTCGTTTACAAGTTTGTCTCAGAGTCACGTGGCACTTTGACAAGCTTCAGTCCTGATTGGGATGATACAAGGTAAAAAGTGGGTTCAAATGTTTCGATTCCTTGGACTTTGACAGTCTTTCTGGATTATTCTGCTGCAGTACAGATTTGAAAGACGTGCGAGTCACACAGGGCTTTTGAAGGAAGGCACATTCATCTGTGTAACCTTGTTTATATACAAGGCTATTCAAAATGCTTTACAAAAGCTACTTAAAAATCATAAAAATAAGAAATATGCCTAATGAAGCAATAATATGCAAGTAAAAATGTTCAGTTTTGGTCTTGAGAATTCATATGATATAATATATATATATATATATATATATATATATATATATATATATATATATATATATATATATATATATATATAATTTATTTATTTATTTATTTCATACCTACCCAGTAATTTTGAGATGCATTTACATTACCTTGCAAAAGTATTCTACTCCTTTTTGTCACATTACAACCACAAACCTCATTGTTAAATTTTATAAGATAGAGCAACACAAAGTAGTTCATTATTGTAAAATGGAAAGGAGGATAGAATGCTACGTGGCTTGCAATAATTTTTGAATCATAAAATAAATATATTTATATTAAAAAATGTCTTGCATTTGTTTCCAGCCTCTTTACTCTGACACCTTTAAATAGGTGCAGCAAGGTGCTTTCAGAAGGCAGCCAATTAATAAATACAGTCCATTTCTGCATAATTTAGTCTCAGTATAAATGCAGTTACTCTGTACAGGCCTCAGAGGGTTTTTTTTTAAAGATCATTATTCAACAATCAAGATCATAAAGCTCAAGGAACACAGCAGACAAGTCAGGGAGAAACTTGTGGAGAAGATTAAAGCCAGGTTATAAAACAAAATCCCAAAATTTGAACATTTTGTAAAGCTGTGTTCAGTTCTCTTATCTAAAGAATGGAAAGTGTATGACACAGCTACAAACCTATAAAAACATGTCAGAGTGCTTAAAGAGACATGACAACCAAGGAGATTCTCAGAGATCCACACCTCAGGTGGTCAAATCTGTTAATAGGGCAACTATTGGTCAGGCACTCCAATCTATTTTCTAAAAGACAACCATAACAAATCCTGTTTGCAGGTTATGGCAAGTAGGGAAACGGCAAAGCTGTGCAATGTGGAGAATTTATCAGTTCTTCATGCTACGTAAGGTTGAAGAAGAGTCAGTGAGTTAAATTCATGAATTCCATTTATTAATACCAAAATACATCTGGTCCATAGTTCATGCTATTCTTAAGGGCTAGCAGAATAAAATGGCAAACAAGAACACTTTGTGATCTCCATTGTCTAAGCTGCGCCCTAAAGAGGGCGTTCCCTAGTGCGTTACATCCTCTAAGTACAGTGTCTTAACATGTCATTTCCTTTACAGCTATTTATTCTCAACAAGCTCTAATCAGATGGGACCACATTTGTCCTTTTTTGGTCAACATTCAAAACAATGGGAAACATGACATCACAAGAAAATTAATAAAAAACATTAAAAAAAAAATAAAAAAATACTTAAACAATCACGTATGAAATACATTGAAGCTTAGGGATTGTAATGTGACAAAATGTGAAAAGGCTCAAGGGGGATTAGTGCTGTCATTCTCTGTCTTGAATCCAGCTGAGCCAGATCCTCTAAACTTGCATTTTTGAGACTGAATAAACACTAAAGTCATTGTTTTTATTACAACATCCAGTTGGAAGACGCCCTGACTTCCATCCTTACTTAAAACTACTTAATGTGAAGATCACGGTGTTTTAGTTTACAAACAAAGTGAAATAAAGAGAATGAACAGAAATATAGATGTAAAATATACAAATCAGTCAGTGTTATTGGCATTGATCAGGTCACAATAATCCAATGTTGGGTGTCTGCATTTACAAGCCCCCCCACCACGGCCCAAAACGACATGACATCACAAGAAAATTCCCAGATGTCCTGTGTCCAGCTCATTATGCAGTATCTTGCAGGTGGTTTCAATGCTCTGGCTGATTGCTGCAACGCCGTGAACAATTTAAAAACGTAGTAAAAAATAAATCAGACAATAAACACAACACAGAGGCAATGAATGAAGCCTGCTGCAGTGCTGAACATGTGTAAAGATAACAACCTTGATGAATATTTATTTTGGTGTTTTAATCTGATATTTAGGTCAAAGTGGAGTGTTAATCAAAGCAGCCTAAAGCCCCACAAGTGCCAAGTAATAAATTCCCTTTGGAAGGCACTGACAAACACCGCGTTACGATACAGCTATCATCATTAAACCTCTTTCAGGAAACATTTCCGCTTACCCCACCCCCCCCTTCTGCGGAGCCTTGCAGCCATCATCTTCTTCATGCAACCCCCGATAAAACAAACAAGCAAAAATCAGCCTCATTCTATTTTTAACGCAGATCGCCACAGGGAACAGCGGCTCAGGTCTGGAATGAGTGAACTTTTAAATCACACATGCTGTGGGCCCGTCAGACTCGGGAGCCGAGTTGGGAGCAGGGAGAGAGAGGGATCGTGCCGTTAACAGGAAATAATGGCCCACAGATTAGCGCTCAGGTTAGCCCGGGGCCCCTGGAGGCCTTCTTAATTCAATTAGAGCCCAGATGAGTCTGAGCAGCAAATGACCTTACGAGAGAGAGCTTTTTTTTTTTTTTTTTTCCTGCGGCCTCACTTTACATGATTCATAAGCCTTGCACATATTTTAACAAGCTATCACTTTGCTTCTAGTGTATAAAAACCTTAGCTGTTAAAAGGTATGTGGTGTTTTTTATGCTTTATCTCTTGTGACGTTCTTTTATAATTTGCCTGAACTGATTTTCGAGTACGTGAATGCAAATATGTTCTCTATTTGATCTGATCATTCTCAGTACCACATGTTTGCTGAAGGTATCCTTTCGGATAGCTTTAGGCTTGCATTTGTCTGTCTTTCCTTATTTCCTCTGTCTATATATCTTTGTATAAAAAAAAGCTTTCCATTCGCTGCTGGACCAACCTCCACCCATGGCTCCCCTCCTGCTGCTGTCGCTGCTGCTTCCTCTACCTCCTCTTCTTCCGTCTCTTCGCCCCTCAACTCAGGTCTCTGCTTGGTTTAGTTCCACCCCCCCTCATCCTGCAACAATGCCTCTTCTCACTGCTTTCTGTCGGTGCCACCACTTCAACATTTCAATGAAGGCCTGATCAAACTTGCCCGAAGATGGTTGCTTTGGCTGCAGAACCAACAGTCTGGCATGATGTCCTTCTCCTTCTCTCATTAGCCAAAAAAAAAAAAAAAAAAGTCCATATTGAGATTATAATAGCATAATGAGACAGTTTAATGATTGCACTGTTTTCCCCAAATTTGTCACTCTGTGTTGCAAGAGAAAAAAAAAAAATAAGGAGAAGAAATCACATTCAGACTGGAGCACTTTCAGTCGACACTGCAAACATTCAACCTGTTTGCAGCACAGCACTCGAGTGCCACCACGTCTTTAACACAATGTTTTAATCAAGAGCATCCTACTGTAGCCTGAGAACATTTGAAGTACAAGTGTCTCAGTGGGAACTGAGAGCTTCACCTGCACCGCATTTGTGCCATGATCAACCTAAGCACCGCTCTCTTCCCGTCACAGGTTGACAGGGGCAAAAAAAAAAAAAAAAAGTTTGGTTTATAACATGTGGTTTGCAGTTCCACAAGTGGCTCACATCTCTCCATCGGCATGCGAAGGGCCGCGCACAAGCCACTGCCGCCACTTCAGATGGCTGAGAAGCAATTAGAATTTTATTTTCCCATCGATGCATATGCATAACATGAAAGGCTAAACTGTGTGGATGTGAAAGTGTATGGGTGTGCATGCTCATGTCCTGTGCCGTGACCCGATAGCGGTCCCTCTCTCTAGACACTCAAGTTGACTTCTTTAGCTGTATTTACATCTGAAAGACCAAGTGGCGGTCTATATAAAAGCTCTGAAGTCATATTTTAGCTCAGTGCTGGCATTTTACTTACAGAAAATGTGGATTATAGGGACTGACCCTGTCTTTTACATTAAAATTACCCATGAACATGAATAGCCAAACATAAACCTCATCATGTACATGTGTAAGCTGTGTTTCTGAACCTACTTTAAAAAGGTAAACCTATACGTCAGTGGAAGTGCAATAAAACGCACGATGCTTTTGAAAGGCTGTTTTGCAGAAAATGGTAAAAGGACACAGATGTTTTTCATTTCCATATGAATTACCTTTCAGTTTCCCCAGCCCTCAACATGATCATATACAAAGAAGCACTGGTTTGCCTTAGAAGACAGCAACCTTCAGGGCTGTGAAATGAAGCCAGATGGCTCGAGCAGTGAGCAGGTTTCATAAACGGCATATTTTAATGCCAAACTTTCAATAACCAGAAGCAGTGGCTCAAGTCTGAGGTAAATATTCAAATTCATCACAAAGGTGGCATTTTTCTTATTTTCTTTTTTAAATAACTCTCAAGTTAAAACTGAATTTTGAGAAAGTTGCACCTAATGAAACTTTTGTTGGCGAGACTGACAGGTGGATTCTATTACTGCTGTCTATTAAGTGCTCACAACCCACACAGAGTGCAAAGATCAGAACCTTAGATAGCAGTAGAAAAGCCCAGGGTGACACCCTCTATTATTTTGAGTAAATAGCAAAACCCTAAGGTACAGTGCAGCAGATTTACAGTACCGTACACCTTACAAAAACAGGATGAAGTGTGTGTTTAGGTATATGGCTCAACTTACCCCATACACACGGTAAGTTTTGCCATGAGACACCATTTTTTGGACAGGCTATAATATCAAAACAGTTATATCCACATTTGTTCTGATTATTTGAAGGAATGCACAATATTCTGAAATATATGCAGATATGCAAGTTTGCAATCAAACTAAGGTTGCCTTGATGTAGTGATCCTTAATACGAAAAATGACTCATCTTACCCCAATCTCCCCTACTGAGGTATTAAATCCCTTACACTATGATACCACTATATACCAACCAATTTCCTTCAAAATTCCACCTGTGTGTAATCTTAGAAAATAAACACAACAGATAAGTTTAATGCAGCTTTAAACTACATCTAAATCCCTAGCTTTGAATTTCTCACAAAGCACTGTCCATTCTATCGCTCAAAATAGGAAATCGCTGCAAATCTACCAAGTCACAACTGTTTACCTAAACTAAAAGGCCAGACAAACAGAGAACCAGACAAGAGGCCAATCCACAACTCAAGCGTGAAAATTCCTGGACAGGACTACTAACCACAAATCTGGCCTCTATGAACGATAGTCAGGAAGACGTCTTTGCTAGACGAAAGAAGTCCCATTTTAAATTTTACACCATTCAGCTATCGAACACAGCAAAAACATGGTATAAAATGGAATGTGGCGAACACATTCCCCAATTCAATTAATGTTGGCAGCAAAATTAATGTTCTGCAAAATGATGTTAAATCTCTGTAAAATCTGACTGAACTTGAAATCCAAGGGGAATGAATACTTTTACTGGGCAGTGTTGACTACTTGATTTCTTTAAAATCATCTTTTCCCTCATGTATCCAATGTGTAAACAGATTAGGTCTCCTCTTTGCAGCATTCCATGTGGATCAAAGTTCGTCTATTACTTGGGATCCGCCGGGTTTCTGTCACTGACCACACCTGTCTGCTCCTGTTCAAACACATCCCTTCTGTGTGAAGAGCTCTGATCAAGTGTGTCAAAACCCTCATGAGCTGGAGGACCCTCAGTGGGCCTGTGTGGGCTGATGAGAGGAAGTAGCCAAATAGCCTTACTAATGACTTTCTTGTTAAGCCTGGAATTACTGGCAATACCAAAAGACTTCATTTTCTCATGATGACAAAAGTTTCAAATTCTATTAACTTTCATTTGTCTGAAAAGTGTGGCAGTAATTAGAGCTAATTGAGGTGTTGAGCTCAATGTGGGCAGCGAATAACCTTTGAGACGCCGAAGCCTCTTGGTTGATGATTGCGTCAGCTGTCGTTGCAGTCTCCGCGTCCATCCTTAGTCATGATATGTTGTTTTCTCTGGCCTTCTCATAATGCGCCATGGCATTCACGTCCCAATGGATGACTGTAGACTGGCCTGTCAGGAGATACAGTAGTTTATAGCAACTTTGCATCCGTTAGTCGCAGCTCATGTCTCTGTTGATGGATTTAAGCAAAAGCTCAAGTGCATGAACAAGCCTCCCCCTCTGGCCGTCTTTGTGATCAAAAGGAGGACGAACCTGGAAGATGCCGAACGAGGGTCCAATTAAATGTAGCCTGCAGAGACAGCAGCCGCTTGGACGTGAGAGGCGCTCTGCCTTCCCCACATCTCACCACTGCCAGAGTGATTCTTTTTATGAGCTGAATATTCTCAAAGTGAATTGCAGAGGAGCTGCAAAGAACACACACTCAGCCCGACATGAATGTTCAATATTTTTCTTTCTTTTTTCCTTTGCCATGCTGACTTTGGGGGAAGCGACAGAACGCATGGAGCTGAGCAATGGGAAAACAAACAAATAAAACAAGGCAAAAATCAAGTTCATTTGTAATGTTTAAATCTTTGTATGAAATCATTTGTTGCAGAGTAAATAAACAACAAAAAACCCTGCATTTTAGGCTGCATAACAGATGTATGAAAGGCTGAAAGCAGAACTTCCCCACCTCTCGGAGGCTGAAGTGCAGAACTTTTAGAACAAGTGTCACACTGAGCCATTGTTCACCCAGTCCAGGAGTAGATGAAGACTCTGTGCTTCAGGGATCCATACAACCCACTTGAAGCTGTTTCAAGGACACTCTCATTGGACTAAATCAATTTAATATGAATCCCCTCCTAACTCTCTTGGGTTTGAGGCTCTGTTGATACGAATGCCCTCAGCGACATTTTTCTTTTCTTTTTTTTATTTCTTTTTCTTCTTCTTCTCCTTTCCAGTCGACTTAGGGAGAAGCTGCTCAGCTAATTTGTCCAAGAGCTATTTCACAAGAAACGAGAGCTGTCAGAGAAAAATGTGCTATCGCTACACATGGTTTAAAGAAGATATTATTCCTCCACTCTAATCCTCAGCCCCAATGGGTTCCTTTTGATTAGATTGTCACATCTTAAACACTTCCACAGGGAGCTCCTTCTCGTGACCATTGTACTTGTTTAACTAAACGAGCATTAGATGTATTTTTTATTAAATAAAGATCCTCACTGAAGATGTAAAAAATAGGGTCACTGAATGTATAATTCAATGATATAAGTTTGCTGGAAAAGCCTGTAAATTTAAATCACTGCTCAGACTTATCAGAGTGGAATTTTAAAACTCTCCATCTCATGTGTTTTAAGTAAGTACCCCGGCATTTGCCTAAGCTTCCGTTAACCCTGCCCAGCATTTGACATTGGTTGCTTTAAATGAGTATCCAACTCATTTAAAGCAACCAAGGCAGACGGTGGAAGGGTCCAGAACCTCCCCCACCTCCCACAACTCCTTGACTCTATCTGAACCTGACACTGGTTTCATTCTCAGGTACTGGAACGCTGTTAGCAGGAGCTGCCTCACTGCTCTGTCTCGGTGGAAGGTGTCATAAAAAAGTCTTAGAAAGGTACTGACGTCTGTGCCTCGGAACAATAGGTGAGGATTTTCTGTTCCTGATACTAGAAACTTTAAGGGTCAAATTATAGAAAAACTAAAAGTAAACTGCCCCAAAGGTCAGCAATGGGTCACAATGCATTACTCCTGCAGCTTATGTACAGTAGATCAACAGTTTCTAGCTCTGTTTTTGCTCTCTATATTTGGCATTCGTCCATTTTAGTTACTTAGTTTATTTGCAGAGGACTATTTATTTTGAGGGATTTGAATTTATTTAACACCACGTTTGAAAAAGCATTTGCCACTGTCATTAATTTTTGGCACATTTAAATGTTTTAGATCATCAACCAAATTTTTATATCAAGGGAAAGATTTCCTGTTAGTTTTGTAGAAGACAATATTTTCAAATGTTGACTTAATTTATTAATGTCCCACGGTCTAAAGAGACAGAGTTCATTGAACCCTAAGAGCTTCTTACTTCTTGCATGCATGCTGCGGTGTTGCACTGACCCTGCGTGCTCTTTTTTCTAGGTTTATTTGTGTTGTTTCGGGAACTGATGGTCTGATGGAATACTTCCTCCCACGCCCCTGCTCTTGCCCTTGTCTGACCGTGACATCTGCTGCACTCCTCCTGAGCATTTGCTGCAAAGACCGCAGGAAGGTTGAGGGAAATAATGCTATTAAAGCCAAACTAGCCCAAAGCCAAAACATCATACCCCCATCTAAAAAATATCTACAACACACAAATACAAAGCCATTAACATGTCAGTGTGTTTACAAGTTCATGTCTAAGCCTTTTGTTCCTAAATGGAGCAGTGGAGAACCATGATAGGAGTTCCAAGCCTCCAAAAACTTCTCAGGATATAATGACAATTCACCCAGGAAGTCATAAAAAAAAAATCACATATTCTGTGACTAATGGTGATTCAACAATGGGAAACAAATTGAAGGACGTTGCTATGGTGCAGTGGTAAAGCAGTTGGCCCATATGCAAAGGCCTTTGTCTTTGACGCAGCCGTCATGGGTTCGAGTCCCAGCCCGATATTCTTTGTTGCATGTCTTTCCTCTCTCTCTCGACTTGCTTCCCTGTCTGACAACTGTCAAATTAAGGCCACTAGAACCGAACCAAGAAAACATAAAAAAAAAAAAAAAAAGATGGGCAAAAGAGCTTCAAGGTTAAAGACCCTGCTGGGGCTTTGCGGTGGGACAGGTGGTCGAGCATGCAACCCATATACAGAGGTGTTGGTATTCAATACAGCCGTCACAGGATCGCATTCCAGCCCAACGACCATTGCGGCACGTCTTCCCTTTCTCTCGCAACCTGCTTTCTTGACTGATTGCTCTCAAATAAAGGGCAAAGGAGATGATAAAGCACACAGAAAGGTTAAAGCCCCTCCTGGCCAAAGCACAACAGCCTGTGTGATCCTGGAAACATTTAGTAACATTCTCTTGACCGAAAAGACAAAAATGGAACATTTTATGGAAACCGTTTGCTGTTTTACGTGCGACGTCAAACTAGGGCTACATTCACACAGCAGGCGAATGCGACCCAAATCTGATTTGCTTGCCCATATGTGACCTATATTCGACTTTTTTCATGACAGTGTGCTCGGTCTAATTCCGACCTTTTCACGCCCACCAAAAAATCTGATTGTGCCATACTTATCCTAATGTTTTCAAATCATCTGCAGTCTGAATGGTCCTGTCTCATTTTATGTAATTAATATGAGACGAGCATCATCTTTTGACACCAGTGGAAGCCAGACGCAATACATCTATACGCAAAAAATGGTTGAATTTTTAGCACATCACATCGCAGTCCCATTACTCCTGGCTTTAATTACATATCCAAACAAACTTTCACAACAAAAGTTGCACAGTCTGCTGCTGTGTGACGTCAGCATTCCTCTTCTGATTATAATATATATATATATTTCAACCAAAAAAATCAAAAACAAGGTACTGTTAGTATGATAGTCTGTGTCTCCCGTGTTTCTTCAGGACCTGAATGAATTGCTGTAATAGAACCACATATCTGCATTCTACCAGAAACATAAACCCAAAAGGAGAAGGACTGGTTCTCAACTCTAGCAACCTTGACATACACGGAAGGACAATAATCCAATGCACAGCACCATCTCCAAATGAAAGCAAAATGAAGGTTTTGGAATGTCCTAATCAAAGCTGAGACTTTAATTCAAACAGTATGCCAATGCAGGATCTTGAACATGAACTGGTCATTTATGTTAAGAAAATATGCATATTTGCAAATGCTTGATTACATTTGTTGCCTCCATGGCAACCAGTTATTAGGTTTAGGGATCAATTACTTATCCACACAAGGATATCTTGATTTGGATAGTTCCCCCCCCTACTAAACAAAATCACTATGTGAAGATGCTTTTTTGTTAACTCAGGTTATCTTTGTCTGATATTAAAACTTATTTGATGATCTAAACAATTACATGTGCCAAAATAAAAGTAAATTAAAGTCAACAACAAAAAGGAAAAAACAAAGGAATCTGTAAGGCATGAAACACATTTTGCTGCACTGTACATGAAAAAAGAAAAATCAACATTATCTGGTATTATTAGAAAAAAAATATTTTGTGGTAATGGTAACTCATGTTATATGTCTTTCATGAAATGTCTGTGATTATGTGGATCGCTCTCTTTAAGTTCTAGGTTTTCTTTTTCTTTTTTTCCTTTTTTCAAGCTAAGAGGTGTCATAATATCCTGACTTCCCCTCGCCATTATTAGAGCTGAGCTGTGCAAATGAAGATGGCCATAAAGATCAATGTATGAAAAGTGGGCAATATGCCGTCTCTGCGCCTATCAAAGCGCCCCGACCTCTAAATTGTGACCTTTGCGGGACTAATCCTCTCATTATGTTCATCCTCTTCTCCTAATCCCTCCATCCCTCGTTCGTGTCCGTCTGTCCAGGTGCCTGCTGCCAGTGACCTCCCAGTTCATCATGAAGTGGCCTTCGTCCAGCTTTGGCCGCGCCTCCACGGCCATGCCACGCTCCCGCAGCCTTTACGCCGCCAGGATGGACCACTTCTGAGGTCACCGTGGCAAGCCTGGCTGCCGAAACCTCGCCTTTTGACCTCAACCTCCCCCCCACCTCCCACCCCTTCCATGACTCCCACCCAAGCCAAACTCAGATCTTAGTAATCCCAGTATGGATGTGAATTTGAGGCAGCTCTGGACACTGGATGGGGTCTCAACCCATCCCAATCGCCTTGTGGAAGATCCAAAAAAAGAAAAAAAAAAAATGCGGGATGATTTGGGATTACTGTAGAGTGTTTTAGTTTTGTTTATCTTCTTCAGACCAGCTAACCATTCCCTGTATCCCTCTCCTCAGCACCAGTAATAACAGAAGGCGGCTTCACTCTTCTGTCTTCATTGTAACTGCTGTATTATATTTCACTGTACAGTTTCAAGTCATGGTACTGTAAAAGGAAGAATTAACAATGAATAAACAATGCAAGATTTATTTATTTATGTAACTATTTATTTTGTAAGGTATTTCACAAATGCAGTGAGCTCTGCTGCAGAATGCAGTCTGGGAATAACGTCAACAAAGCTTTGATTTATTTGAATACGTTGATGTAGAACGCTTATTGTTTGCTGTTCCTAATTAGTAATTTTATTTCTGTACTCGGATTATAATTTATTTCACAATTTATATCAGATGGTTTACGTTAATAACAGTCACTTTATGTTGTTTATCATGCAGCTCAAATTAATTAACTGGGAAAGAGGTGATGCGCAAAGAACTTGGTGTTTTGAATGCTAACGCTGTTTTGTTTCTACTTGTGTGAGATTAAGTGCAGCCCAATTAAAGCGGTTTGAATGTCAATGTAGTAAGCCAAGCCTTTTTGCCTCCTGGAACACAAGCTGGCTTTAAAGTCACGGCATGAAGAGCCAAACCTCACCGAGAGCACCCACTAGCTCCTCATATGCATTTTGCATAGTGTGTCACAGAGAGCGAAAGCGGCTGCACATTAGTAGAGAATG